TGATTGTTGTTTATGAGCAAGGGATTGACGACTGCTGTTTATGAGCAAAGGATTGACGACTGCTGTTTATGAGCAAAGGATTGATGACTGCTGTTTATGAGCCCAGGATTACTTACTGTTGCTTATGAGTCCAGGATTGACGACTGCCGTTTATGAGCAAAGGATTGACGATTGCTGCTTATGAACCCAGGGTTGATGATTTCTGTTGATGCCGCTCTAATACCATGTTAAAACCTGCATTAAAATGTTCTTACAGCTGGAATAAAAAAAAATATTTATCGTTACGAGACCATGAAAAATTAGACAATGCATGCAACAATATGCAGTTGAAAATCAATACAAACGTTGAAATTGCAACGTTTCTTAATGTTAAATATTTAGAAAAATTGAATACATCTGCAAGGTGCTGCCGCCTTAAAGCAACGGTACGACGGTACTCAAAGCAACGGTACGACGGGGTTTAATGCAACGGTACGACGGGATTTAATGCAACGGTACGATGGTACTCAAAGCAACGGTACATCACTCCATCACACGCTCCATACATACTCCAGCAGCACTCCATCACACACTCCAGCAGCACTCCATCACACACTCCAGCAGCACTCCATCACACACTCCAGCAGCACTCCATACATACTCCAGTAGCACTCTATCACACACTCCATCACACACTCCAGCAGCACTCCATACATACTCCAGCAGCACTCTATCACACACTCCAGCAGCACTCCATCACATACTCTAGCAGCACTCCATCACACACTCCATCATCCCAGGTTCCTTGCATCCCGTTTTCCTCTGATTCACTGAGGATTCCTAGTTTCACCCCGTTAATGGAAGTCTGCGTCTGGGATTGTGGTTTTTATCCAGACTGTGACACATCTGATGGTGGTGATGGTGGTGATGGTGATGGTGGTGGTTGTGGTGGTGGTTATGGTGGTGATGATGGGGGTGGTGGTGGTGGTTGTGGTGGTGATAGTGGAGGTGGTGGTAATAGTCGTGGTGATAGTGGTGGTGGTGATGGTGGTTGTGCTGGTGGTGATAGTGGTGGTGCCAGAGTGCTAAACGTTTAACTAGCTCTCGCCCGTCCACACGCTCGTCCAACATGGCCGACTTGATGGTTGCTACCGTCAACTTACTACTGTAGTGGCAATAACATGCGACTACTGGAAGTGTTTCAGACTTATGTAATGTAAACTCTGTGGAGGGTCACAGTAATGGTCATCTTTTAGGCATTAAAAGCGTATATGACTTAATATGGAATGGCCCGTAATGGTGATAGTAGTAATAGCATTAGTATTAATAGTATCAGTAGTAGTAGTAATAACAGTAGTAATAGTGGCATTAGTGGTAGAAGTAGACGGAAAAGTAGCGGGTTTTTGTGAGAAGTGAAGCAGGTCATTTTAGTGTTAGAGGCGAGGTTTTGTAACATTGAGTAAGTTCGAGTTTAGTGATGATCGTGGGCGGCCATCATGGTATGGAAGGAGGGATTCCTCTCCCTCCTGCTGCTAGGCTCCTTCCCAGGCCCTCTACCTCTTATCTTCATCATTGTGGACTTGACTGGTGGCAGAACCGATGGAGAAAGAGAGAGAGAGGGAGGGAGGGAGGGAGGAAAGAAGACAGAGAGAGAGATTGCCTTCATTACACAACGTTAATTTTTAACGTTGTGATCAACGTCACTTTCCTGATGAATCCATTTTTTCTTTAAATCCACTTTTCTTTATTTTCAGTTTGGTTAAGTTAAAATTAGGTTAATTTAGTTCGTTTTCTTTTAATTTACTCTTCTTTGTTTTCTTTCCCATTACTCCCTTTTTCTCATTATTTTACGAAATTTACATCCATTAACGTTGTCTCTCCTTTATCTTACTTTATTCCCAGTCGTTGTTGCCCTCTTTACCCTCCCTTATCTTTCCACTTCCTCAGCCCTGTTCTCTGACCCCCTTAGTTAATCCCTCAATTTCCTATCAATCTTCCTTTCTTCCCTCTCCAGCCTTCCTTTCCTTCCTCGTCAACCACCCTCCCTCACTCCCCAACACAGGTCTCAGCAAACGTAGTCTGCATAAATCACTCCAAGTCTTCCAATAATTCACTCCACCACACAGACACACTGGCTCACTACCACTGTATTACACTAACACACACACACACACACACACACACACACACACACACACACACACACACACACACACACACACACACACACACACACACACACACACATTAGATATCTCAAAGGCGATAGGGCCGGACAACATCTCTCCATGGGTCTTGAGAGAGGTAGAAGAGGTTCTGTGTGTACCACTAACCAAAATCTTCAACACATCTATCGAAACAGGGCGATTACCTAAAGTATGGAAGACAGCAAATGTAACCCCAATCTTTAAGAAAGGAGACAGAGTCTCAGCATTAAACTCAAGACCAGTGTCTATGACAGGTACAGTATGCAAAGTCGTGAAGAAGAATATTATAAGAGTGGTGGAGCACCTAGAAAGGCATGAGCTTATTTACGACAACCAGCACGGTTTCAGGAATGGGAAATTCTGTGTCACAAACTTACTGGAGTTCTATGACAAGGTAACGGTGGTAAGACAAGAGAGAGAGGGGGGTTGGTAGATTGCAATTTCTTGGACTGTAAGAAGGCGTTTGATACAGTTCCACACAAGAGATTAGTGCAAAAGCTGGAGGACTAGGCAGGTATAGCAGGGAAGGCACTGCAATAGATCAGAGAATACCTGAGAAGAAGGCATCAGCGAGTCATGGTACGTGACGAGGTGCCAGAGTGGGCGCCTGTGACGAGTGGAGTTCCACAGGGGTCAGTCTTAGGACCGGTAATCTTTCTGGTATGTATGAATGACATGACGGAAGGGATTGACTCAGAAGTTTCTCTGTTTGCAGAATGTGAAGCTAATGAGGAGAATTCAGTCGGATGAGAATCAGGCTGAATTACAAAGGGACCTAGACAGGCTGCAAGCCTGGTCCAGCAACTGGCTCCTAGAGTTTAACCCCACCAAGTGCACAGTCATGAAGATCGGGGAAGGGCAAAGAACACCGCATACAGAATACAGTCTAGGGGGCCACAGACTGCAAACCTCACATAAGCAAAAGGATCTTGGGGTGAGTATAATACCGAGCACATCTCCTGAGGCCCATATCAACCAAATAACTGCTGCAGCATATAGGAGACTAGCAAACCTAAGAACAGCATTCCGGCACCTCAGTAAGGAATCGTTGAGGACTTTGTATACAGTTTACCTCAGGCCCATGCTGGAGTGTGCAGCACCAGTTTGGAACCCACACCTGGTCAAGCACGTCGGGTCGCAATGCAAGTCCCGGAGCTAAGGGGCATGTCCTACGAGGAAAGGTTAAGGGAAATTGACCTGACGACACTGGAGGACAGGAGAGAGAGGGGGGGACGCGATAACGACATATAAAATACTGCGAGGAATTGACAAGGTGGACAGAATCAGGATGTTCCAGAGATGGGGTCACGGCCAGAAGTTGAAAACTCAGATAAGTCACAGGGATGTTAGGAAGTTCTTCTTCAGTCATAGAGTTGTCAGGAAGTAGAAGTCTGGAAAGTGATGTAGTAGAGGCAGGATGCATACATAGCTTTAAGAAGAGATATTTTAAAGTTCATGGAGCAGGGGGAGAGTGGACCTAGTAGCGACCAGTGAAGAAGCCAGGCCAGGAGCCATGCAACCACAATTAGGTGAGTACAATTTGATGTGTACACACACACACACACACAGACACACACACACACACACACAAACACACACACAATGGTCAGTGTGGTGGGGGTGTCTTCTTCCCAATCTCCTTCCTCTATTCCTTCTTCCTTTTGTCTCTTCCCACCTCCCGTTCCATCACTTTCTTTCTGCTGCTACTGCTATTTTCCGCCTTCTCCACCTCTTCCTCCTTCACTTTCCCTCCCTTCTCTCCTTCCCTATCATTGCACCTCTTCTCTCCCTCCCTCATCTTCCCCACCTCTCCACCTCTTCCTGCTTCCTCTACTCTACCTATCCTCTCTTCATTATTATCATCGTTCTCACCGACTATTCACTGAGTCATGAGCTCCATCTCTAGTGATTCATCCTTTCTGTCTCATCTCTAATATATTTCTCATCTCACTAAATAATAAATATTATTTTCTTCAGATACGAATGAAAAAAAAATCAGTATTATCCTCGTGTCACGTTGGTCACGTACAAATTCTTCCACATGTTAGTTTGACGTCGCCCACCTGCTGGTATTTTCTGACGGGAAGAATTAAAAAAAAGTTAATGACTTCGGATTTATGTGGTGAATGAGACACATGTTCAATACTTTGTATTTTTACTGCCGAAACGTTTCGCCCTGCTCAGCAGACTTCTTCTGTCTCCATTGTTAGTTTCGCCTTCTGCACGGGTGAAAATTTGATTTCTAACTATTTATGAAGAACCGAGTAGTAAACCTTGCACGTATGACAGACAAAAATCTAGCAGCACCAAAGTGTATCTGATACTGTCTGAGGCATAACTGCGGTCACACCTTTACTATGCTCCACTGTTTTGTATTCGCTGATCGCCTTTCCCCGTCTCATCTGCTATTTCTAGACTTTAGCTCTTTCTTTGATTTTAATAATATTTCGAGACCTGAACATGACGACTCATCTCTCGCCTGGACTTGGCCTGGATAGTTCTGTCATTCCAGCAGCGCCTTCAGCACCAGTATAACATAACAGGTATTACTCCTGTTATGTATTACTCCTGTTATGTAAAAGAGAGAGGCAGGGAGGGGCAGAGATTATCAGGGAGGTAGTGGAAACAGTAAATGAAATGCTGGTGGACATCACCGTAGACTTTTTCATTTAATTACTCAGCGTAAGAGTAGGAGGTATGTTAATTAAGATCAGTTAGGGTGAGAGGTTAGTTTGTCAGGAAGAGGCCACAAATCTTCAACTGATTCATAAAGTCTCATCCTCAATCTAAAGGTAAGAACAATGTCGTTCACAGGACTGAACTACACCAAACTGGACTCGTCTATACTTTACGAGAAGGAGGCGTCGTTCGTCGCTGTACTCGACGACAACGACTACCAGTCCGACGCGTCGTACCAGGGCGGCGATGGACCGCACGTCGCCAGGTTCCGGTCCAGTCTGGGACACCGGGACAGCAACAACATTGACTACAACCAACTCATCGATAGGGCGGATATTCTCAACTATGACAAGTGAGCAGAGTTCTTTTGTTTTCAAATCTTTTCAAGAATTTTTTAGGCTCTGTGGTAGTTATGGGACAAAATAGAGTGACAGTCTGTCTCAAAATGTTATTTCATATTCTTAACCCGTATTATTGTGGAGAAACAAGTCTCATAACACTGCAGTTTCTTTCATAGACTTTTTTTATAAACAAATCCTCGTAATGCAGGAGATAAAGTGCAATTGCTAATATTTCTATGATCACAAAAAAATGCTTAACAATACAATTGAAGCTCTCAGGTGTTGTTTTCTTATGCATTACTAGACGGAGGTTCGAGCCTTACCGCTCGTTAACACTCTCCTGTGCGCAATAATAAAAGACTTGGTATTTAAGACCACGAAGAAAAGAAAATTACAGAATAAGCTTTAGCTATGACAACATTTCGATCTGAGTTGGTTTTTATCAGTCCATGACATTAGAAAGAGCAGCATAGATCGAAACGTTGTCTCAGTGAGAGCTGAGAGATTACTGTCAGGCAAAATAATTACCTGAAAATCCCTTTCCCCAACTCCCTCACGGCCCAGGTACAAGACCGAGCGAGAGATAGTGTTGGAGAGCCTGGGTGGGGAGGAGGAGACTGGTCCAGAGACCTTCCTGGAGCTGGACCTGCAGGACACCTTTCACCCCCACACATCTCCCGGACCCAATCTGGAGCAGAAGGTACCGTCTGAAGTGCCCAACCTGCAAGCTACTGAGTCCCTCACTACTCTGGTACGTTCACTAAGTCCCTCACTGCCCTGGTACGTTCACTAAGTCCCTCACTACCCTGGTACGTTCACTAAGTCTCTCGGTACTACCCTTGTGTTTCACTATCATTGTTTACTTTCATTATCCATACAAATCCCCAGAAGTTTAATTTAAGGCACTTATTGAGAAACCTTCCAAAACAAGACCCAATTATTCCCACACTTGGTGATTCCAATTTAAGACACTTAAAATGTAAGTATAAACTTATGTTTTCAGTTGCCTTTTTTCTTGACCACCTTAACAAACCAGTTACGTAGTGGAACTTTAGACGACGTATCGGTCGCTTCATGACCTTTATTAACTTAGAAACGTCGTCCCAAGACTCATCTCTGCCACGACACTGTGACTTGTATTGTTGCAGCCACGACACTGTGACTTGTATTGTTGCAGCCACGACACTGTGACTTGTACTGTTGCAGCCACGACACTGTGACTTGTACTGTTGCAGCCACGACACTGTGACTTGTATTGTTGCAGCCACAACACTGTGACTTGTACTGTTGCTGCCACGACACTGTGACTTGTATTGTTGCAGCCACGACACTGTGACTTGTATTGTTGCAGCCACGACACTGTGACTTGTATTGTTGCAGCCACGACACTGTGACTTGTACTGTTGCTGCCACGACACTGTGACTTGTATTGTTGCAGCCACGACACTGTGACGTGTATTGTTGCAGCCACGACACTGTGACTTGTATTGTTGCAGCCACGACACTGTGACTTGTATTGTTGCAGCCACGACACTGTGACTTGTATTGTTGCAGCCACGACACTGTGACTTATATTGTTGCAGCCACGACACTGTGACTTGTACTGTTGCTGCCACGACACTGTGACTTGTATTGTTGCTGCCACGACACTGTGACTTGTACTGTTGCAGCCACGACACTGTGACTTGTATTGTTGCTGCCACGACACTGTGACTTGTACTGTTGCAGCCACGACACTGTGACTTGTATTGTTGCAGCCACGACACTGTGACTTGTATTGTTGCAGCCACGACACTGTGACTTGTACTGTTGCAGCCACGACACTGTGACTTGTACTGTTGCAGCCACGACACTGTGACTTATATTGTTGCAGCCACGACACTGTGACTTGTACTGTTGCAGCCACGACACTGTGACTTATATTGTTGCAGCCACGACACTGTGACTTGTACTGTTGCAGCCACGACACTGTGACTTATATTGTTGCAGCCACGACACTGTGACTTGTACTGTTGCAGCCACGACACTGTGACTTGTACTGTTGCAGCCACGACACTGTGACTTATATTGTTGCAGCCACGACACTGTGACTTGTACTGTTGCAGCCACGACACTGTGACTTGTACTGTTGCAGCCACGACACTGTGACTTGTATTGTTGCAGCCACGACACTGTGACTTGTATTGTTGCAGCCACGACACTGTGACTTGTATTGTTGCAGCCACGACACTGTGACTTGTACTGTTGCAGCCACAACACTGTGACTTGTACTGTTGCAGCCACGACACTGTGACTTGTATTGTTGCAGCCACGACACTGTGACTTGTATTGTTGCTGCCACGACACTGTGACTTGTATTGTTGCTGCCACGACACTGTGACTTGTATTGTTGCTGCCACGACACTGTGACTTGTATTATTGCTGCCACGACACTGTGACTTGTATTGTTGCAGCCACGACACTGTGACTTGTATTGTTGCTGCCACGATACTGTGACTTGTACTGTTGCAGCCACGACACTGTGACTTGTATTGTTGCAGCCACGACACTGTGACTTGTATTGTTGCAGCCACGACACTGTGACTTGTACTGTTGCAGCCACGACACTGTGACTTATATTGTTGCAGCCACGACACTGTGACTTGTACTGTTGCAGCCACGACACTGTGACTTGTACTGTTGCAGCCACGACACTGTGACTTGTACTGTTGCAGCCACGACACTGTGACTTGTACTGTTGCAGCCACGACACTGTGACTTGTACTGTTGCAGCCACAACACTGTGACTTGTACTGTTGCAGCCACGACACTGTGACTTGTACTGTTGCAGCCACGACACTGTGACTTGTACTGTTGCAGCCACGACACTGTGACTTGTACTGTTGCAGCCACGACACTGTGACTTGTATTGTTGCAGCCACGACACTGTGACTTGTACTGTTGCAGCCACGACACTGTGACTTGTATTCTTAAGCTATGCATAACATGATTCTAAACCATTACTTTTTTCATGTAGAGTAGATCAAGGTTGTGCAGCAGTTTTCCATGTTATTCTTAACTCAAAACATAAAACTTTTAAAGGTCGTCCTCTCCATCCTTGTTTATAATATCATCCTGAAGCGTTGTGTAACGCTGATGGGTTTAGCGCATCATTTTGATTATAATTATAATAATTATGGGTCGTCTCTGCTCCTCTTAAATTTAATCTGTCCAGTTTATTTAACATGAAAAAAAATATTCCAGGGTTTGTTTCGTGTTCGTTATAATATATTTTTTTCTAATGTAGATGACTCAGTTTTTTTTAACAATATAATATCACTGATATATATAGTACGTAAATGTTTTTTTCACCAGACTTACAATTTTAGTATTATATATTTCATATAAAAAGTATATGCGTACAGCACTCAGTGGCCTAAAATTAATTTTAACAATGAAATTTTTAAATATTTGGCATATATGAATTTTACACTCCTAGTGGGCCAGCCTAGCTTAATTCCAGGTCAAATAAACATGTTTTGTCAAGGTTATATACACAGAGATGTGTTTATCTCTTAGTGTATAATATATATATATATATATATATATATATATATATATATATATATATATATATATATATATATATATATATATATATATATGTGTGTGTGTGTGTGTGTGTGTGTGTGTGTGTGTGTGTGTGTGTATGTATATCCTTGCCTGACGACTATTTTGTAGCCGATAGACTTTTAACCTAATGCAAAAAAGAATATTATACTGCCAAAGTGGCTAGTTTATTGCCCACCATATCCATTCTGTGGACGGCAAAGCGTATGGGTACACAAATACCCTAGAACTATACGCGGGTAGATAAAAAACAATATTTATTTTGCCCTCGACGGTGTACACAGATGGATTATAATTTCTGTCATCGTGTCTCTTCGGCTTTTGGATGACTTGGTAAACATAGAAGATGTGTTATTGCAGTGCCAGCTGGAGTGTGGCCCTGGGCGGTGCCATCTTGACGCTCAGGCAGGAGTGCCGCGTTGCATGTGTCCCCTGGGGCGTGCTGGAAGATACTGTCACCCAGGTGAGTTCTCCCACACCAAGTCGATGGACGACGCAAGTTCAGGTAGTGGGAACTCAGATTCAGGTAGTGGGGACGCAAGGTAAGGTATTGAGGGACACAAGGCAAGGCTTTTGGGACGCAAGGTCACGTATGGGGCACGCAAGTTCAGGTAGTGAGGGCACAAGGCCTGGTATTGGGGACATAAGGTAAGGCATTAGGGACGTAAGGTCAAGTATTGGGGACGAAAGGAAAGCCATTAGGAACGTACCGTCAGCTAGTGACGACGCAAGGTCAGGTACTGGGAACGCAAGGTAAGGCTCTAGGGACACAAGACCATGTAGTGAGTTCGCAAGATCAGGTGTTGGAGACGCAAGGTCAGGTACTGGGAACGCAAGGTAAGGCACTAGGGACACAAGACCATGTAGTGAGTTCGCAAGATCAGGTGTTGGAGACGCAAGGTCAGGTATTTGGGCTGCAAGGGCGGGTATTACTGAAGTTACGCAAGTTCATGGAGGAATTGAGGTCAAGGATGGAAGCAATAAGATCACAGATGGAGGACGCAAGGTCGTGGATGGAGAAAACAAGGCCATGAGGAAAGAAAAATAAAGAAAAATGGAGGAATCAAGGGGAAACAAAGGTCATGGAGACTATGAGGTAATGAAAGGAAGACAGCAAAGTCATGGGGAAAGCAAAGGCGTAAATAAAAGGAGGAAAAAATATCAAAAAGAACTTCCACAGAGGTAAAAGATGAAAGGTGTGAGTACGAGAGAAAGTTCCCTCTCTACGAGAGGGCTCAACAGAGCAATAAGTAGATGCTCGATACTCCGTCCCCTAAACGTAGAATATGTCTCATCTGTCTCTGATGAAAGACCTATACGGATTTAACAAAGCACGAAAATATATCGTATCAAAAAGATTTAGTTAAAGAACACTGCAAATTAAATCATAATATAGTAAGCCTAGAAAAAAAATTAACTAGGCTGGAATTTGAGGGGGAAAGTACTTAGTGTAGAGGAAAAAACAGCAATGGAAAGAGAGGAGGATCGATAGTATTAGAAGGTAAACTATAATGCAACACACAGATACTGATACTGAGTTATCCCTAAGGGTTTGGTGCTTCCCCCTGAATACGATGCGTAGGGAAAAATGGTCTGGTGATAATGGCAAGATGTGGACAAAGACACTTATTAAAGGAAACATTTCGCCACGAGGGGTTTCACCACGAGTGGTTTCGACACGAGTGGTTTCGAAACGAGTGGTTTCACCCCGAGTGGTTTCGCCACGAGTGGTTTCACCACGAGTGGCTTCACCACGAGTGGTTTCGCCACGAGTGGTTTCACCACGAGTGGTTTCACCACGAGTGGTTTCACCACGTGTGGTTTCGCCACGAGTGGTTTCACCACGAGTAGTTTCACCACGAGTGGTTTCGCCACGAGTGGTTTCGCCACGAGTAGTTTCACCACGAGTGGTTTCGCCACGAGTGGTTTCACCACGAGTAGTTTCACCACGTGTGGTTTCACCACGAGTCCTGAACTGTACATGAGTGTATTTTTCCACACGATGTGTTGAGTCGAAAATTTTGTGATTAAAAATTGCAAAGTCCAGAAGCACACGAAGGTACGCGCAAACTAACCAGCGTTGAACAACACTTCAGTTTTGACAGTATAAACGAGCAATTGCAAACTGTACTAAGGAAACTATAAACTGAAGACTGAAGAAGATAAATTAATTGAAAATGGAGACTTCAATTAAATTAATAGATTATTAAAAAGATGGGAATGGCAAAATGGTTAGCCTAATTAATAAAAGAATAGACGAAGTTCATTGGGCGTCATCACGGTGCGCGGGATACCGCAGTTGTAAACTGAAAAGAGGTCCCGTGAGGATACCAGTAAGTTATCCTGGCAACAGATCACTGCAGTGAAGCACGAGACGAGGCATTGTTATAACCAATAGTCACTTGAAAAAACATGAGAGCAGTGGAGCACTGCAGTAGGCCTATTGGCCCATGCTACTCACGTCTAATTCACGTCTAGCTGGACCTGCTTCACATCCATAACGCAGTAAACACTGAAGACTGGATACCATTAGCTTAGCTCTACAAATAGATAATAGGTAATCGTTAACAGTAGCTAGATCGTACTCTCCCACAAACTTTAATAAGGTAGTTACAAATGGTCAATTACCCACAAGAACTAGACCTCATCTTTCCACAAAGTCAAATGGTTAGTCATAAAATACCTAATTACACAAAACCTATAGAGCCAAAGAGCAAGTCTCTCATGGGCATTTATCGTGTTGCCAGGTCAGATGTTGGCACGGTAACAATTGTTGAAGCAACATGCGTTAGCGAGCACCAACTTGCGCTCCACCACACTCTGAGAGAAGTTTCCTGCATGAAATATTACCTCACTCATGATTACCAGCTGCAACGCTTGCTCTTAGTCGTAATAAACTACTGCAGAGAAGCAGGGGATGAGAGATCTGTGCTTGGAGGGGGAGGTGTGTGCATGTGTAGGTGGGTAATCATGGCAAAGTGGAGCGACGTATATGGGTGGATGCGTGATCTTGACTCAGAGTAAGGTGTGTGTGTGTGTGTGTGTGTGTGTGTGTGTGTGTGTGTGTGTGTGTGTGTGTGTGTGTGTGTGTGTGTGTGTGTTTATGTTTGAGTGAGTGATTTTGGCACAGAGGGGCGACGTGTGTATTAGCTTTACTCTTTATTTTGTTTCATTTTTATTCAGCAAAATTGGATTCCTCAGCAGTATGCTGCTACCCTATTCTATATGATAGTTACAGAGTGGGAACAAAAGCTAGCTGTTTCCCTAGCTGTTTTCCATCACACTGGATGGATCACATAAGTAATGTTGAAATCTGTCAGAGGGGCGGTATGAGGATGAGACACATAGAGTACTCGCAACCCCAGATGAGCCAGACAAGTCAGAATGTTAGAGCAGTAACCAAATGAAACTGTGAGGGGTATGAAAAATTAATTTAATACAGCTGCAACAGTTGACAGCTTTAAAAATGGTGGAGGTCAACTTCATTCATAGTTTCAAGATTCGATGTGATAAGATTCATGAGGCCAGAAGTCAGTAAACTTCTTCCATTGGAAGAATGTTAAGAGGCACGGCCAGGAGTTAGGACTCAACCCCACAAATCGTTGAGTACACATGCACGTGCACAAGTACTCTTGTACTGCCTCGTTTTCATTAAGTTTTAAAAAAATATTGGGAACTAATTTTTGTTGATATTTCTCTTTATCCCATCTGTTTAACAAATTTAATGCCTCAGCATAGCAGCCAAATTATCTTATGATAACATAACACTTACTGACGTACTCTACCTACTTCCTTACAGGTGCCCAGGTGGAGACTGCCAGGTTCCACGGGTCATCGTGGGTAGGCTTCGCTCCACTGAGGGAGGCCTACAGGGACGTGCAATTGACCCTAGAATTCAAGCCGGAGACTCCTGACGGAGTGCTACTGGTGTCGGGGGAGAACGACGACCTCTCTGGGGACTTCATGGCTGCCGTGCTCGTCGAGAGCTTTGTTGAGTTCAGGTGCGTTGATCCCTTGTTTTTTCAAGGCTGGTGAAGTGCCCATAATCTAACGCACCCGTCATACAGCATGGTTGTTCATTGCTATTTTAACAAGTATGATGATTTTCCATTCATACTTGATCATGCAACATAGTTTTTCCTGTCTTACTCCATCACGTACGAAGTTTTTTCTTGTCATATGCCACTACACAGGATGGTTTTCTTCTAATATTCCACCACGCAAGATGGTTTTTTCCTTTCATATTCCATCATGCAGGATCTGTCATTCTCCATCACGTAGAAGGTTTTTCCTGTCATACTCCATCACAGAAAAACGGGTTTTCTAATAAATTAATGAAATCTATCAGCCTGAGCTGAGAAATTTCAGCAGGGCAACAAGGTCGTGAAAAAAGAAGAAAATATTTTTTCAGGATTATTCATACAATATTTGTATAATATGCTGAAGGCTGTATATTTATGTATACGATGGCAGATGGGACTGTGGTTCAGGAGCAGGCTCTGTACGGTCTCCGGAAGTAGTTCACATGGATGAGTGGAACCGACTAACTGTGTATCGTCACCGCTGGGACGTGTGGCTGCAGCTCAACGATGGCCACCACATCCAGGGACGCTCTGAGGTACGACACTTTATTGCCTTTCATCGTTATGTTGGAAGGATAAACTGATCTTACGTCTACGGAGTACTTAGCTGGATCCAAATGGTGTATTGTTGACAGTAATGGTTGAAAAAATACTTTTCAGCAGAAGCTTTTGTTGGGAAGACCTTTTTTTTTTTTCTTTTTTTTATCGAGTAATTATAAAGTTCTACATAAAGCCAAACGTTCTCAGTTAAAGCTTGTACTGCAATGTGTCTTTTCTCCAGAGCTTTAGCTGATGTCTGAAATTTTTGATCCTTAGTAAAATCTAGGACATCCTAAATGCAGTATTTTTGAGTAGCTGTGAGGGACTGATAAACAACAACATGATCACTACATAATAACATGATCACTACATAATGATCACTACATAATCACTACATAAAAATACCTGTATATTTCAGTTCAGATATTCCTAAGATATGTGTAATTAAGCTCTTCCTAATTTCGCTTCGCTTTTTCTAGCGAGTGATACTTTGTTTCAAACTTTCCTATCATATTTGCTTTCTTTATACTTTCTAATTAGGCAGTTTTTAACTCCCTGATTCTGGGAAGCGGATTATACGTCTCATCCTGTCGTATCCCTTAATTACAATAGTGTAGCTGTGTAGTAAGACTGTAGTCCAAGAACTGAGTCTGACTGGGAGAAATAGTACCCGTGTCTTAGTTGGTAGTGCACTCAGCTCTTATACTGAGTGCCCGAGGTTCGACCCCCTGCCGGGTGGAAACGTTAGATATATTTCCTTACACCTGCTGCCCCTGTTCACCTGGCAGTAAGTAGGTACCTGGGTGTTAGCCGACTGTTGTGGGTAACATCCTGGGGGGGATGGGGTAGTATACCTTAGATATGAGCTAAGGTAGGATAACAGCTCTTATTAACCTGTAAAATTGACCTGTGTAAAAAAAGCTATAAATTTACCCATGGTAATGCTTTCTTGGATAATTCTAAACAGTATTGATTTTGCAAATATTTTCAGGGTTTATTCTCTCGTATCACCTTCCGTGAGCCCCTGTACGTGGGCGGCTCTAACAACCTGACGTCACTGGCCCCGCGACTTGGCGTCACTACTGGCCTCCAGGGATGTGTACGACGACTTCAAGTTAATGATCATGTTTATCGTTTTCGCAAGAGTGATCCTCTTAGGGAGCCAAACCTATCGTCAGATTATGCGGCATTAGATGGCTGGGGCATAAGTAAGTTACAACAAGAATAGGATTTACTTAGTAACATTGTATAAATAACAGCATAAGAGGCGGGGAGGGGGATTCTTTACTGGTAACAACTTGGAATTATAACCTGTTATTTTTAGATTAAAAACAGTTTACACAAACAATCCGCACGTAGAAGATGGAAACTTTACAACGACATTTCGGTCCTACATGAGCCATTAACTAGTCACACTAACACACGAAGGGAACCAAAACAGTTTAATCAGGTGACAAGCAGTTCACGCGTTCCAGCAAATTAGGAAAATCTATAAAAACAATCTGTTGTGTCTCACTCACTGCAGAGTCCAGTATGTTACACTCGGTCCACATGTTAGACACGCAGTGCAAAAAAATAATAATGTGGTAATAACAAACAATGTATTACACAAAATACTTATAGCATTATAAAATATTGTAATATATTAATATGAAGTACTTATCATGTAGAAAAACTCAACAACAATATTTAAGTTTGTATTAGTTTTGTATATGTAAATATTGGATTGTTTTTTTTTTTTTTTCAGACATTTTTAACGTTGTTAATATGTTAAAAATGTTGCTAGTATTGAAATCGTCTTATGTAATTTTCAGTGTTTCACTTAATTAAAACTAGCTTAATCATAATGAGTGATTTAATCAGGTAATAACTTTACCAGGGTCTCTTGCTTTATACGGATCACATTCATGTGAATTTACCGTTATGCTGTCCTGTTCCTATTGGTAATTCTATACATGATGCTGTTTGCGATCGTCACGATTAGCAAAAGCTCGATGCTGAGTCTTTTGTTATTCGTAATTAAGTGTTTATGGTTTATAATTTAAAATTTCTTCAAACTAAATAGCGAATTACTGATAACAGTGAAGAAAACAAACACATTCCAGAATAAACTTTTATTAGGTCAATGTTGTCCTTTTTGCAGAGGAAAATGTTGCCTCTCAATAAAAGCTTTTCCTGCAACCTGTCTTTTTTAACTTCCTGTTATTGTCAAGGGAAAGTTGAAGAAGACATAAACTTTCGTGCTACTAACACGAAATTCACATCAAACATATTATTTTCACGTACATTTTTTTTTTCATATTTCTGGATAGGCAAATCAAACATGGTAACTCATCCTTTCCCTGACTTCATCTGCCAGAAACTGGAACAGATTGAGTGATTTTATACTAAAAAAAAGTACCCAACGAGGAAAAATTTCATTCTTGCAATACTTGAAATCTGAGACTTTAAAGTAAGACATGACCGCAACACGAGAGATACTCGGAGGTAACCGAGTATCTTACACGTTCTAGTAATACTGAAATGCCCCTGTATCATATATGCAAGGTTAATATTTGTCCAGCTTCAGGAGAGCCAAATATTGTAAGAACAATACATAAATATATCTTCATTCTGTTTCAAGTATTCCGGAAGAATTTTTTTGTATCATTTTGTTCAAAAGTTTATATTAGAACGTGTTATAGTCAATTATTTCTTCTTTAGTTGTTTATTAGACAACTTAAAATTGGTTTAATTCACGCAGCTGAGTGCATAGGTGACGCATGTAGCGAGGTGGAGTGTCAGCATGGTGGGAAATGTGTGGCCTCTACCCAGGATACCAAGAATCTCTCCACTGTGACAACACCAACACCTCCACCATTCTTTGCTCCGCCACCTCCTGCCCCAGTCTGCCTCTGTCCTTTAGGTTATTCGGGAGATTTCTGTGAAAAACAACTAAACCTAGAGGTTAGAGACAGCGCTAATTAAAACAAATTATTTTTATTCACTAAAATTGAGTTTTTTAATGCAGAACAAGCCATAAGGGGATGGAAATCTTCAGTAGCTATGCAATGTTGTAAGACAGCAACAGATAGGAGGGGAAATTCTCTGAGGCAAAGTGAAAGGTATCAGTGGTGGCACATTGTTTTTTTTAAATATTAACACTGGGTCTTAATCACCTTTGCCGGGCAACCCAGATCTTTTTTCCTTCATAAGCAGTGTATGGGTAAAAATCTTCACCCTTTCTTCATATTCTGTTGGCTGTTTTCCACCACATAAATGGCTATAAGGGTAGAATTTTACCTATAGTGTTATTTATGTTATTATAATGCAGTAGGGAATAGTATTAGTTATAATTATTTCTTGATAATGTGTAGAAACATATATTAGGTCACTGTTCTCTTGCTTATACAATTGCCTCTCTTTTTACCTAGCCAGAATAATATGCATGCAGATGTTTAAATTATAGGAAATTTTAAATATAGTAATAGAAATGAGATCCATCTTTCTGAAAGCAATTCCGATTTAAGATTTTCCTAATTGAAGTTCTGAAATATATGCTTATAGTCTTGAAATTCTGGATGTTTGAGATTTCAGTGAATTGAAAACTTGGGAAAGTCATCTTTCTTGAGCTTAGTTAATAACTCTAATTCGATTCCAGCCTTATGTTTCGGAGAGATTTTTTTCTGTAGAAAAACATAGCCTCTTATTCTGTCTTAAATATATCACAGTAATTGTATTGAACCTTACGGAACTAGATTAGAGTTTTCCACTATATATTTAAATATGGTAAGATATTTTTACTCGCTTTATTGAAATAGTTAAGAGCTTCACAGAATCATCAACATTACAGTAGGACATAGTCTAGGTTAAATATATACCTGATACTTCCTTTTCTTTCTACAACCCGTAAAATTCTTGAAAAGACACACTACCACTGTTTTTCTTAGACATGACTGAGCATCATTTCCCAGATTTAATTCAGATGTTGTCTTGTTCCCATCTGGGTTTTCCAAAAATGTTATTTTTGTGGCATTAAATCTATGATTTCTTCCCAACAATGTCTATCGTGTTTTTTTTTCTTTATTTGCTTCCAGGTTCCTTCGTTCAATGGTTCATCACACCTGATGTTCCCTGCTCTTGGTGGCTCCGTGTTATCATGGTTGGAACTGGAGGTGGTGTTCCGTGCAGCATCCACGGATGGAGTTCTGCTTTACGAGAGTCACCGTTCGGATGGTACGGGAGACTTCATCGCCCTTACGTTGTCCCAGGCTCATGTCCTGTTCACAATTGATTTAGGCTCTGGCATCTTGACTCTCAGGTAATATGCTGAAACAAAATTAGTATTTAAAAATTTATATTTTTGTTATTAAACTTATGCAATTGGTGTAAGATATCTTCTGCACTGGCAGTAATTCTAAAGTGTTTTGACAGTTATTTATATGCATATTTTAGCTAAAAATTGAGGTATGTCAGAAAATGCTTCAAACCCCACCGAGTCGTCGAAATATGCAATAAAATAACATAACAGCACATTTTTCTATATTTTTTAAACTTTGTTCTAGGTAATTGTGCCTGCAGTTATGCTGTGTGCTAACTGGCAGACTTATGCACCATAACTTGCACTTTAAAATAGAAGAACAATTGTATCTTTCAAAATTATTAATTACATATTTGCATATTTTCTTACTGACCTTCTATGTGCCTGACTACTGCATCATAATTACACTGTTTCTTCTAGGTCTGTATACCCAATCCGTCCTGGTATCTGGCACTCAGCGAGGGTATCCCGAACAGGCCGCTGGGCATGGCTCTATGTGGACGACCAGCCTGTTGTAAGTGGGTTAACTCCTGGAGGCTTCACTATGTTGTCGCTCTCGCATCCACTCTACCTCGGGGGTATTCCACCCACATCCACTTCACAACCGGTACTTCCAGCATCTCAAGCATTCACTGGCTGCATACAGAAGGTAATGATTCTGGAAACATTATTATTTTGTCTGCATTTGTATCTTAAATAACATCCTGTAATCAAATTATTATTTTCTTTATTATTGTCACGGGGAAGCGGTAAACCCACAGAAGTCGTATAGAGCCTGAAGAATGATAGGTAAATTAGGAGAGGAAGCTCCAGTTCTGTGGATCAAAGCCACATCACCGGTATCAAAGAACCTCTTATGAAGGGTTGGTAAGAATAAGCAATTTGTTTAGAGGGACTGATTGAATATGCATTAATCGACGACTGCGCACGTTTCGCTAGAGTATAGTAATGTTTGTGTCCTGCACCAGTGTGTTGAAGGTCTGAAGAAAGCTTCAAAGTCACTCAATGAAAATTACTTTCAACACAGTAGGTGTCTCCTTTCCCATAAAAACTGGGATAAATGCAGGTATGACTACTATGAATATATTTCTGCATTACAGTTAGATCAGAAAACTCTTTCTATTAACAGTTATCGCTCAATGGTCGGCCAATTCACCTAGTCTCCGGAGCTGTGTCAGGAAGCAACGTAGACTCGTGCAATCATCCCTGTTCTCAACGTCCCTGCGACAATGGTGGCATCTGTGAGCCTCACGGACCCTCCTACACCTGCCGCTGTCCTCTTGGCTTCAAAGATGAGCACTGCAGGAGTAGAGTGGTGACACAAGCTGCAACGCCAAGCTTCAGCGGCAGGTCGTTCTTAAAATATGCTGATACGGAGATCATGAAACGGTAAGTGTTATTTCGGAAATTAGGTAAAATCTCAAATATTTTAGCGCATGCAAACTCCTAGTCAAAATCTTCTTCCAGTATTGGTTATTTACTCAAAGGAGACTCATACACCGATTACGAATATAAGAAATGAGGGAACTCCACAAAGAATAGAATGAATCTGCATTTAGTAGTCTAATCGACACCATAAAAATTGAAGATCTGTATAATTTCTTTACTAATTCTACCAATTATTTAGCTGACATCAAAAAAAATCCTCCAGACTTTGAAAAAAATAAATAGAAAACATGCCAGTGATGCACCACCTGGCTCTTATTCCCGGAATTCGATACTTGAAAAGAAATGCAAAGTGCCATTAGTACGAGCACTTAGTCTTGGCTGGAGGAGGAGCTTAAATTCAGGTGACATTCTGGAGGTTTTAAAAATCGTAGACATAGCCAGTCTTCACAAAGGAAGCAGCAGAACGATGGGGAAAATCCAGACCAGTAGTACTAACACTACATATCATAAATTCTTTGAAGAGATACTGAAACACCAATTTATTGTTTTTATGGAAGAGCATAACTTAGGCAACCCAAGTCAAGATGAATTTAAAGAAGGAAGATCATACTTCTCATACCTTATAATATATACCTGGAAGATACTGGAGGGCCAGGTGTTAAATCTACACTACCGTAACTACTTACTACAATATTAGATATGGGAGGAAATGTAAAATAAAAATTAAATCATTTTTTTTATATATATGAAGTTATATTTGTGTTAAGAGATTGATTCACATTTTTTTTTTTTTTTGCATGGAAAACCCACTTGTTATATAATACATAGTATTTCGTGGAAGAAAATGGCACTTTAGGCAGAGTGAGATAAGACTGTGTCAGCCTGCGTGGTCCAAGACTCTTCAACCTCCTACCAGTACATATGAAAAATTTTGCAAAAACAAATGTAAGATCAACCAGGCTGTGATGGCTATGTTGGCCATCACGTCACTAACAGCAACAGCCTAGCTGAACAGACAATCAACAAGGAAGCTTGACCAAAGACTGAACTGCGAGAGTACAAAAGTCCTCCATATCGATCACATATAAAATTACAAATCACAGTGACTGGGAAATAGGAGGTACAGACAGTAATCAGGTTTCATCCAAGGGAATGGACGGTAGCTCCAATTCCATGGCTCAAGAGCCCAAGAGACAGTAATGCAGATTTATAACACATTATTTTCAATCCCAATTTCAGAGTGTCGGGTGATAAGTTACATCTGTGGCTACGATTCCGCTCCCTGACTCCCGATGGTCTCTTAGTGTGGGCCGGAGAAGACGATGATGATGGAGAGAACAAAGAAGTGATGCTGCCGCCTCTGGGAGACTCCCTCAGTCTGGAGCTGCAAGATGGCCGTCTTGTTCTCCGTTACAACCTAGGTTCAGGCTTTGCTCAACTTCTCTATAACAGTAGCAAGCGCCTAGATGATGGACAATGGCATACTGTTAGAATATACAGGTTTGTTAGTTTTGTAAACTATTTTGAAATAAATGTAAGTCAAATGTTAGTATTTTGTGTGTATGTAGAGGGAAGAATGAAGATAAGAAAAGAAGAAATTTTTGTACAGATTAGATGTGAAGCTTTAGTAAATTAGAAAACAATTATTTACAAACAGAGGAAACGAAAATATAGAATATCGTAATAGAGGAGCACTGCAGAGGTTAACAGGCCCATATTAGACAACCTCAAACCTAATCATTCTCAATCGTATATTTGTCTAGTTTATTTTTAAAGCTTCCTATGTAATTGGCTTCAGTGACACCACCTGACAGTTTATTTACTGTCACAGTCTATGGAAGAAAGAAACCTACCTAAATTTTCCTCATAGTCACTGTGTGGGATAAGTAAAAAGAAAGATTTAGAGATGATTATCGGGATGAAGATTAGGTGGAGGGAATATCTGAGAGATTTGAAAAATAGAGGGAAAGACGTAGGAACAGCGAGTGTTTGAGAAATAGAGTTAAGAAAGATAATAGGGGGAGAATAGAAGAAAGAAAAAACAATAACTGAAATTAGCAAGAAGGTATGGAATAATAAGAGTGGGGATTTGTTGATAGAATGTTGATTTATAAATATATATAATCGTAAGGAACATACCGTAACAACACTAAATATTGAAGTTTCAATAAAGCAACTAAATTATTGCATGGAAATGTTCTTTTTCACCTGTCTTAACTTTAGGAGTCTATAACTTAGCCGACATTTGATTTGGAGTAGAGAGATGTGATTTGATTTGTATGAAATGTTTGCAGGGCATTGATACTTAAAGCGTTTGGGTGTTGGAAGGTTAAAAGTCAAGGCATTTTGTGATCCACTTGTTGGAATGTTTTTTCACCTATAATTCCTTCAGTAAGAGTTTTCATTATCCTCATATATAAAATTAGTGATATTTCATGCACATTACAAAGATTATAATAGTGTTACCTTTTGTTAGCACACATGCAGTAGTCGGAGCAATTATCTTTTTTCCTAACTTCTGTGTTGCAAAAACATTATAGCTACTGACTAGACAGAAATATTAAAAGACTGAAAATTTATAATGGAGTTATTTACTGTAGAGTTTTTGCCTGGTGCAGGTACGAGAGAGAAGGACACTTATCTGTAGATGATGACGAGGAGAATGTTGTAGTGTCGCCAGGTGACCTTGTGCAGCTCAACGTAGACTCAGCTCTGTATATTGGTAAGTGAACATAATAATTGTAAACAAAGAATAAAAAAGGCACAATATCGTGACTGGAACAATGTACTCATATATATGTCGTGCCGAACAGGAAAAATTGGTCAGTTAGCATGAACTCATTTGAAAATAAGTTCTTTAAGTAATTTTCTCTTATACGTTTAAAGATATATTTTTTTATTAATGTTAATATAAAAATTAATAATTTTGTACCAGAAGAACCTGAGAAATCTTATTTAACCTTATTATAACAAGCGTAATTTAATTTAGCCTAATTCCAACTAAATATATTTTAGATAAGTTTACAATAATTTAGTAATAAACAAACACAATAAAATATATTTTTCGTTAGATTCAGGATGAGTTTTGTGAAATTATTGTATACACAAATTTTCGCTTGCCTTATTCGGCAAGAACACAGTTGCTATATAAGCCAAAATCGCAAGTTTTACCTATTCGGTACGACATATATATATATATATATATATTCTTTCTTTCTTCTTTCAACACACCGGCCGTATCCCACCGAGGCGGGGTGGCCCAAAAGGAAAAACGAAAGTTTCTCCTTTTACATTTAGTAATATATACAGGAGAAGAGGTTACTAGCCCCTTGCTCCCGGCATTTTAGTTGCCTCTTACAACACGCATGGCTTACGGAGGAAGAATTCTGTTCCACTTCCCCATGGAGATAAGAGGAAATAAACAAGAATAAGAACTAGAAAGAAAATAGAAGAAAACCCAGAGGGGTGTGTATATATGTGCTTGTACATGTATGTGTAGTGTGACCTAAGTGTAAGTAGAAGTAGCAAGACGTACCTGAAATCTTGCATGTTCATGAGACAGAAAAAAGGACACCAGCAATCCTACCATCATGTAAAACAATTACAGGCTTTCGTTTTACACTCACTTGGCAGGACGGTAGTACCTCCCTGGGCGGTTGCTGTCTACCAACCTACTACCTATATATATATATATATATATATATATATATATATATATATATATATATAATATATATATATATATATATATATATATATATATAATATATATATATATATATTCTCCATGGGGAAGTGGAACAGAATTCTTCCCCCGTAAGCCATGCGTGTCGTAAGAGGCGACTAAAATGCCGGGAGCAAGGTGCTAGTAACACCTTCTCCTGTATATATTACTAAATTTAAAAAGAGAAACTATTCTTTTTCTTTTTGGGCCACCCTGCCTTGGTGGGATACGGCTGGTTTGTTGATATATATATATATATATATATATATATATATATATATATATATATATATATATATATATATATATATATATATATATATATATATATATATATATGTATATATATGTATGTATATAATGTATGTAAACAATCGCAGACAGGCAATCTTAACAATTTAATAATAATTTCTTTATTTCTACAAGTACATGTAGAAGGTATACAGTCCTACCTGACATCAATGACATACTACTATATAGAAAACCCCTTGTTATGCAGAACATTTCGGGCAAATTAGATCAGTTTTGTCCCGGGATGCGACCCACACCAGTCGACTAACTCCCAGGTACCCATTTTACTGATGGGGAACACGCCCATTGTTTCTACCCTCGCTGGGAGTCGAACCCAGACCCTCGCCGTGTGTAGCGAGAGCTTTAGAACAAATTCCCAATGTAATATATTTTTACGGTCAGTATTGTCAGTATCTTGTTAGTAATACATATAGTGTCCAAGGCTAGTACAAGATCTGAGACACAGCCAGTAAGATCAAGACCGCTGGCTGGTACTAAAGTTCTCAGAACCTTCATGAGTAAATTTTTTTATTTTTAATAAACTACCTTGGGCATATACTGTAATTAAAAGCATCTCTGAATGTATATAAGCCTCAGAGCTTATTGTAATCACCATTTTAGAGATTAAGCACCGTTGCTGGTTGGTAATCAGATGGATTGTGGTCTTAATGACCACAGTGGAGTCAGTAAGTCTGAAACCTAATTAGTTACCTACTCTACCATAGGTCACAGAACAGAACAGAACAGAACAGAACAGAGGACTCACAGGTAAGGACCCACGAGGGGCGAGGGGCAAGTGGGGACAGGGCGAAGAATAGACGGTGAGAGGAATCTCTTGAGTCGTAGAGAGAAGAGTCAGGACTAGACCCAACTGCTAAGCCTAGGTAAATAGACAGACAAACTGATACACATATGTATAACAGCGGCTCATGCAGACCTCAAAGCTTGTGGATCTAACATGAGGCTATGTAAATAACAGGTCTCTGAATTCTTTCCGTGTATTTAGCCTTCCTGAAATATAGGGAATGACAAGATCAAAATTTCATTCCACAGGCCATGGTAAATTTGATTTATGTATTGTACAGTATTTTAATAGTATCTAATTCATCGTAAAATATATTGTAATGTATGCAAACACGTTCAGCACTTTTTTCTCTACTAAAGTTGTAAATAGACAGAATAAATTACCATCTGTATTAATAAGCTTTTGGGCTTAACGCACTTTTAATGTAATAATAATATTATTTATTATTATTAGTAGTAGTAGTAGTAGTAGTAGTAGTATTGTTGTGTTTTTATTATTATTGTTATTATTATTATTATTATTATTATTATTATTATTATTATTATTATTATTGTTGTTGTTGTTGTTGTTATTATTATTAAGGGATTAGCAAAGAAAGTAATTCAGAGTATATCTCGTACAGGTATATTATTACCGACAGATATTTATTGAAGATTTTTCACTACTTGTTGCTTAAACTAGCCTAATACAGCAACAGGTGAAATACAGTACTTGAGATGAAACATCTCAAACGCTTGAAGTGCACTTAGTGTTATTTAGCCCACCAGGTGGTGCTGTACGAGCCACCGAGTTCTCATTGTTTTTATTGAACACACTAATAATGAGAATAATTAACTCTGACTTCAGGTGGACGCGAGACCTTCCGTGGAAGCCACAGTGGCTACATGGCACCTGGACTAACTGGCTGTGTGGCTGACCTGACCTTGGCAACAGACTACCATGTTGACCTCATAACCCAAGCAACAGCTGGTCAGAACATCGACTACTGCTGACCGGACGGACGGTAGGACGCATTGGTGGAACGCTAGAAGACATGAGCTGATTATTTGCAGAAATGATTTTATTATGAAGAATTCAGAGAAAATTTTAATCAATGAAATATTTCCTGTATTGCAAATGTCAAAGGGATAAAAATGAGTATATAGCATAGGAATGTTTTTGATTCTGAGATGTTATTGACGTAGGCGTATATAAGACCATGCTAACATCCATTGGAAAGATATCATGACTTGCTTAATGTGTCACAGGAAATGCTATATTGGGCTAGAAAATAACTGCAAATTGCAAGGAATAGGGGATAATCAGTTAACCAAATTGCTTATTAGTAATGATGCTTATTTAACTAGCATGTACAAATTTAATTAGAACAAAGACTATAATAATTGAATGAGATGTCTTAGTGATAACGAAGCTTAGTCAACACCTCAGTAGAAATAAATCTTTATATAGCCTGAATGCAAAATATCACCTTTATTCCTTATCCCACCTGAGCTTCACGATCACTCTCATCCCATTCAAAGTCAAAAAACAATCTGTTGTGCAGATTTGCTGGGAATGATTAGGCAATACCCTAGGCTGAAGCATCTTAGAAATAAAGCATTCATTTTATTATTTAAAGTGTGAATGTGTGTGTGCATGTATGTGTGTGTGTGTGTATATGTGTGTGTGGGGAGAAGGATGTCCATACATGTATGTTCTGCACATGTCAACATTGTACTTCATTTGGTTTATATGTAGTCACCATCATCATTCAGAGTAAGTGGTCAAAAATTGAATTAGTTGTCCATTTTGAGTTCCACATTCATGTAATCCTCCATACGTAGCATCACACAACAAATGATAGTGTGTGTAGCTACATATGTATGTATACATATACAATATTTGTAAATCTTGTATTCAAATAACTTCATTTGGATGTCTTGGTAAGAGTTTGCCCATTTAAGACGAATTTTAAAGTGTTACGTTGATAATGGAGAAGAAATCAGAATATGAAAAAAATACTTAATTGTTTATAAGTATAACGCTGCAATTTGTAAATTGGTTTAATATATTTGGCTTTGTGCATGCACATCTTTGGCTCCTCCGGCTGGTAAATATTTACAGTACTTCATGCAGTTGTCGTGTAAATCATGTTTTAATAAAAGCCATATTCTATTATTTACAACATTGTTCATGTTAACTCTCATTAAAAAAAAAGATGTTTTAATTTGTGTAAATATATTGTTAGCACCTTTCATAATGGCTTAATTGAACATAAGTGTTCATTTTTTATATGTCTTGAGTTTCTGTTCACCAGTGATAATATACTTTGGCCAGAATACTAGGTATTGTGAATCAACTGAACAGTTAATATAGTGTCCTCATTTTTTGTGCTATAATGATGGCATTTTTAATAACATCCTCCAAATCATACTTGTGACCTTCGTATCTCAAATGTCAAAATGACAGTTACCTTAATCAATTTTATAATAAATGTTCATATATTTCCTGTGGTTATGTTTGTATTATAGATTTTGCCTCTTGTAAAAAAAAAAATCATGGAAATGTTATAATGATTTATTTATAATCAATCTGCCATACCTGTTACTGTGTCGTTAATGCAAACAAATAACTATGAGCTGACGGATAGTAGTGTAAAGTCACTGTCAGCAAAGAAATCTCTTATTAATATGGCATTTTATCCACACAGAATACATAAAAAAGTTGTATATGTAGAATATGGAAAACGTGAGGTGCCTTAATTAAAATTCTAAATTTTTTAAAGGGTGGACCGGTAAGCCAGTGGAAGGCCTCGGTCAAATGACTAATAGCTCCAGTGGCGGGTCACCATGACTTAGACCTGCGTCAGGAAACACTTGTCCTGTTTCCTGACGAGTCTTACCTAACCTAACGTAAGGTGATGAAGGGTCAAACCAAGTATCGCTGGGTCAGGTCAGGTACCGCTGGGTCAGGTCAGGTGCCGTTACAGGTGAGATCAGGTGATGCCTGGTGAAGGTGAGGACAAAGAATCAGGTCGTTGTTATTTGTGTTTAAGATGTTGATTCAGTATTACTTGTGTTTTGGGTTTGGACAAACTGTACACCCTTGTTTTGTTCTTTGGTGTTGGTGAGGTAAACAGTGGCAGCCTCAAGACAACTACATCTTATGTTGTTTTCTTAGTAAATAAGAGGTGCTTGTACCCAGGTCATGCGCGTAAATGTATAAAGTGGTGTATTACACCTATGTTGCATGTTTCCCATTTCCATAGCATCTAAATCTTCTTTGTGTTTCAAGAGAATACAAGAGACCGGTTTTTTTTTCAAGAAAGAATAATGTGCGCAAGAAATCTGAGGCTGGAGAAAGACTATGATATATAGATTTTCCTCGTCTAGAAGAAATTTATTTCTTCAAATCTAAAAGGCAGGTAAGAAAAGCCTGTGATTGCTCCTCTTTTAGTCCTGAGATTGTTGTGTGAGAAGAAATTAATCAGTTCATTTCTTTTCAAATTTAAAGTTAATAGAAAGCGTACTAAGAAAGATGGCCAGATTAATTTCTTCTCAAACAAATCTCAGGACTTAAAGTAGTAATTAAAGGATTTTCCTACGTGCCCTCCAGACTGGCAGAAGTGACTGCCTACTGGACGACCAAATATATATTAAAAGCTTTATCCACTCTCAAATTTCCTCTGCAAATCATCTACTCCTGAAAAAAAAATGTTTAGTGTTCACTCCAAACCCAAAGAAGAAATAATCATCCCACAACGATTAATACTTCCCACTGGGCCTACAACACTCGCTATAATCCTCTCCTCCAGAGTCAACATGAGCATGTTTGTATTCTCAAACAAAGGCACAGCAGGAGCCCATACTGTATACTTTATGGTGGTTGTAGGGAGACAACAGTGGATTTAGATGCTAGATTAAAAGAACACAAATAAACATTCAGAATGAATAATATACGCAAAACATGCCTGGTACACCGCTTCACAGTCACACATAATGAACTGGAAAACAAGCACATCTTATTTACGAAGTAAACAACAGAACTAAAGACAGATGTCTTGAGGCTGCTACCTTTTGCCTCACCAACACCACAACAAAACAGAAGGATGTATATTTTCTCTAGTACCATTGCACAAATAATCTTAGGACAATATATTCAACACACAACACAGCCAGATCCTTCAACCTCATCGCTGAAAAACACTTGACCTCACCTCACCTGACCCAGTGGCACCAGGCTTTACCGGCTGCACCTGACCTCTTCCGGTGTCATCTGATTGGATCAGGTGCGCCTCGCCTCCTCCATATTCTCCATTTACCACTTTTTATACGTGTTCTATGACCCTGATAAAGGGTATAGAAACGTTGTATTAATAAAAGGCTCCTTTGCTGAAAGTGTTTTTTTTTAATCACATATTGTTAATAGTAAAAAGATTGTTAAATAGTAACTAAACGATTATTTTACTCTAATTTGCTGAAATCTAGGAATTCAGTTCACACATCTTCCAAATCACCAATAATATAAGGCTAGTTGGCTTCATTATCAGTCAATAATAATTAGAAGTAATACATCATCTAAAAATGTAGTATTGGATTACTCATTTAATGTGGCATTTGAAGGAACAATAAAGTAAGAAAACTTTATACAAAGATTATCTTGGCTTGGGACGGGGGCCGCAGGGGCGACGCACCCCTGGAACCCTCATGTAAACAAAAAATGTATATTAGAAAAATAAATTGCATATTAATTTAAGTAATTCATGATTTGGAGGATGTAAACTATGGCCCTGTGTGTGGATAAAAGACTATAGTTTTATCATTAGAATTAAGGGAAAATATTTGCCTTTTATTTAATAAAAATGTGTGTACTATTATTATATGGTTATACAAGTTGCTACATTCCATAACTATGTAAGCTTTACTTCAAAACCTAAAAGAAATTGGCAGTCGGTACACATTGTAAGAAGAGTCTATAGGCGTGTTCTACATATCATTTTGTAATGTAATAATAGTAAGTTAATCAAGAAGATAGTGCCTACATATTTGTGTTACGTAAGTCATTCTCAGAATGAACGTTCTTAGCATCATCTAGTCTATGTATATTGATGTAAACCAGTCAAGAGCTTACACGCCACAGAAAATGGGAGGGTATGATACCAGCAGTGTGATCCCAGGGAAACTGAAATACTTAAATTGGTGGACCGTACTTTGTACCAGTACCAATAATATTGTTCCGGTGGATGTGTATAGAATGTTGCTAAGTTATGGTCCTAATGTACTAGATAGTTTTTCAAATTCATATTCATTCAAGAAGTAAATGTAATGATACCTGTGTAAATATAATTTTCAGTATCCAGTAGTCCTCCATCAGTACAGTATGGCATAAAATTTTTTACTTCATCCTTTTACAAATACATATGATGACTCCATGTTACTGATACATTATGTAGTTTAGATGCTCCACAAATGAAGGTACATACGCTACAGTATCAGAATCTTGACATCCCATTACTGAACAAAAAAAATTACGAGTGTATATATATATATATATATATACATATATATATGCTCAAGTGTACATATACATTACTTGATACACCATTAACAATACTTTGATAATTTAGGACCCTGTACCTCCCACAGAATTTAAAGTTTCAGTACTTTTGTATTATATAAGTTACTTTATAGCACCTGCAGAACTTAATTAAGTCTCTCAAATAAGACAACACTTGTGTTTGCTGCATAATCAAGATTACAGTTACCTGGAGGCTGGGTTATCCAGGTATCAACAAGATAACAAATACTGTACCAGGGCAGATGGATTATCATACCCTTTCTATTTTGGATATCATGCAAGAAAAAAATTCACAGCCTAATTTAGTAACTTGATCCTACTTGGTGGCAATATTGCAATCATTGGCAAAGTAATCAAACTTAAAGTTCTAAATGTAATGTAATAGGTTAATTATTTTAATGAGAACATCAAAGCATCTAAATAATAAAAGAAACTAATGAATGAAGTGGTAAGTAGAGATTTATTTATAAGATTAAATACAATCGAATTAACATATAAAGGTGATATTTTTGAGGATGGATGATGGAAGTAAAATATTAAATTTAATGTTTTTATTGCTTCTGACATATATATATATATATATATTTATATTATTATCAAAACTTGAACTCCATTGTTTAAGAACATCTTTATATTAATAAAAAACCTGTTGTATAAAAACCAATAATGAATATCTGTAATAACAACGATTATTATTATTATTATTATTATTATTATTATTATTATTATTATTATTAATTATTATTATTATTATTATTATTATTATTATTATTATTATTATTATTATTATTATTATTATTATTATTATTATTATTATCGATAGGAAGCGCTATGTAATAACAATGAGAGTTTAAAAAATTATAACAATTCCACATATTATGATCACCTTATATTTCAACGAAGCATAATTATTATCCATTGAGCCACGAAACAGCAAAATTCTGGCGATAATTATTAATTCCAGCCAATTTACGAGGCCTGAATTTTAAGAAGCCATATATTCTATTGCTGAATTTTTCATCACTAAAATAAAATTAACTCGTAATATAAGAAATTTTCGAAGTTACTACAAGTGGTTTCAAAGTGTTGCCACAAGAGGGTCAGGAGTGCAGCACTTGATGTGACCTCAGTGGACTCGGAGGTGTTGACACAGATCATGTACAGCAACTAAGGAGTAAATCTTGTGCCATTTTAAACACTGTTTTTATTTTACCTGGAGGATTTACGTGCTATTTTTGCGGTTTATTAATATCATCGGTTAATAACTTTTTTTTACTTGTGTTTCTGTAATAGACATTAGACCCATATTGGAAATTCGCCAATTTCTAAATAGGACTAAAAGGAACCAATTTACAATGGAAACGAATGTCAACAACATTACAGCCAGACATCCTTAATAGTTAACATTTATTAGATTTTATTAGTCTTCTAGGCACTATATAAACCCGTACAGGGTTAGTGCTTCCTGTGAATATCATAATAATAGATTATCGACCTCTGCTAAATGTTCATTTTTGTTACCCAGGCTAGTTGTGTCGGGGTGCCAACCGAGTCTCAGTAAGATTCTGTGATATGTGTATGCCAGGGGTTAGAAAAACTAAAGACACGCTACGCTGGTTTGGTATCTTGGGCGCAGATTAACTCCAGCTTCTGCTAGGTTTGTCCCCCTTTTATTAGATCAAATATGGCATATTTCTTCGACATTAAGTGCGCTTGTTTGTCTCTGATGATTAAACTTGTGTTGTTAGAAAATTAAGACACATGTGCAACATCTGGGAATCTTTATGAAGACGTTTCGCCATCCAGTGGCTTTATCAATACAAATTCTAGGACATAATTTGAAGACAGTAGTACTATAAAACCACTGGATGGCGAAACGTCTACAGTAAAGATGCCCAGATGTTGCACGTGTCTTGATTTTCATCTTGTCGGTATTGTATACCATTCTTGTACAACAAGTGTTGTTAGCATTACATAATAATGTTCCTGGTGCTAAGATTATGAGAGGTTTCGCCCATGTACTTTTCGTCACAGGTCTCGCCTGTTGTTCTGGCTGCTGCGTCTTGGTGTCTTGAATGATACTGAAAGTGAAGACGGAAAGAACCAAACTGAGGAACAGTGGCGGAGAACTGCTTCATTACTCTCACTACATGAGATAGGTAGAAGATCCCAGGGGGTAAGGCACAAATCTCTTAATTTAAACTTCCCATCACACAGTCGGATTTTCTGAGGGTCGTATGAGACATGGCAATGAAATTCGGAAGAGCCTGCATGATGCCTTTTTTCTCAGGTGAAATCAAGATTTATACTTGTGAGATCCGATGGTCTGCCCAGCCATAACAACGACTAGTCTGGAGTTACATTGGTGAGAAATACTACAGTACAAATTGTCCAGATTCCCATACCGAGGTAAATATTGTCGAAAAACTAAGTCCGAATCACCACCAGGATGTTATTGATATAAATGCAGGAAACAAGATTCGATCTTCAATTTCTTGAGCAGAGGGCGACAGACACGTGTGAATATCTCAAGAGGTTGTTTAGGTAGTGAGAGGTAATTGTGAGGAGCAGATAACACGGGGTTATCATGAACCTATGCAGCGCCCCCTCCATTGCCTGTTAATTAATGGAATCGTATTGAGTGATAAATCCATAACGGTCATACAAGGAAGAGAAGGGTAACTCCAGCTCCTCAGATATAGAACAGTTCACCAGCATCACCCTTAAAGTATTCTCCCAGTCACTGTTTGGAAGACAACCTAGTTTGCTTATATACAGAAACGAATATTCAAAAGAAAATCTGTATTTCAGTCAACATGAGAGTGACCGCCGGAGATGTGAACACAGTAAGACTCCTACACCCACATGGTTGTGACGCTGATTGGTTAGTTCGTCAACTAAGCTTTAAAGTTTACCGATGCACGAGAGTATTAATTAAGGCTGCATCTTGTTGACCACCAATCAAGAAAACTTTAATACCAAATGTTGGTCAATTTCAGTTAAACTCTAAGTTTATATATATATATATATATATATATATATATATATATATATATATATATATATATATATATATATATATATACATATATATATATATATATATATATATATATATATATATTAATATATATATATATATATAATATATATATATGTATAACGTATATACTTTCCTACAAATGCTTGCACTACTGCTCTGAGCAAACAAATAAGATACTCTTCACACACACACACACACACACACACACACACACACACACACACACACACACACACACACACACACACACACACACACACACCACATATAATATATATATATATATATATATATATATATATATATATATATATATATATATATATAATATATATATAATATGTCGTGCCGAATAGGCAGAACTTGCCATCTTGGCTTAAATAGCAACGCTCAACTTGCCATATAGGGCAAGTGAAAATTTGTGTATGCAATAATTTCGCCAAAATCATTGTGAACCTAACGAAAAAATGTATTTCACTGTGTTTGTTTAGTATTAAATTATTGTAAACAAATCTAAAATATATTTAGTTGGGTTAGGCTAAAATAAATTGTTCTTGTTATAATAAGATTAGGTAAGTTTTCTAAGTTCCTTTTGGTGCAAAATTATAAATTTTTACATCAACTTTAATGAAAAAATATATCTTTAAACGTATAAGAGAAAATTTTAGAAAGGACTAAATTTTAAATGAGTTCTTGCTAATTGACCAGTTTTACATATTCGGCACGACATATATATATATATATATATATATATATATATATATATATATATATATATATATATATATATATATATATATATATATATATATATATATATATATATATATATATATATATATATATATATTACACTGATCTCTTCAGCCAGAGATCAGTGTTTGTGTATATTTCGCCTGCTCTCGCGAATTCCTTGCATATATATATATATATATATATATATATATATATATATAGATTGAATATCAGATTGGAGGGAGAGAGTATGGAGGAGGTGAACGTATTCAGATATTTGGGAGTGGACGTGTCAGCGGATGGGTCTATGAAAGATGAGGTGAATCATAGAATTGATGAGGGAAAAAGAGTGAGTGGTGCACTTAGGAGTCTGTGGAAACAAAGAACTTTGTCCTTGGAGGCAAAGAGGGGAATGTATGAGAGTATAGTTTTACCAACGCTCTTATATGGGTGTGAAGCGTGGGTGATGAATGTTGCAGCGAGGAGAAGGCTGGAGGCAGTGGAGATGTCATGTCTGAGGGCAATGTGTGGTGTGAATATAATGCAGAGAATTCGTAGTTTGGAAGTTAGGAGGAGGTGCGGGATTACCAAAACTGTTGTCCAGAGGGCTGAGGAAGGGTTGTTGAGGTGGTTCGGACATGTAGAGAGAATGGAGCGAAACAGAATGACTTCAAGAGTGTATCAGTCTGTAGTGGAAGGAAGGCGGGGTAGGGGTCGGCCTAGGAAGGGTTGGAGGGAGGGGGTAAAGGAGGTTTTGTGTGCGAGGGGCTTGGACTTCCAGCAGGCATGCGTGAGCGTGTTTGATAGGAGTGAATGGAGACAAATGGTTTTTAATACTTGACGTGCTGTTGGAGTGTGAGCAAAGTAACATTTATGAAGGGATTCAGGGAAACCGGCAGGCCGGACTTGAGTCCTGGAGATGGGAAGTACAGTGCCTGCACTCTGAAGGAGGGGTGTTAATGTTGCAGTTTAAAAACTGTAGTGTAAAGCACCCTTCTGGCAAGACAGTGATGGAGTGAATGATGGTGAAAGTTTTTCTTTTTCGGGCCACCCTGCCTTGGTGGGAATCGGCCGGTGTGATAATAAAAAAAAAAAAAAAAAAAAAAAAATATATATATATATATATATATATATATATTATATATATATATATATATATATATATATATATATATATATATATATATATATATATATATATATTTATATATATATATATATATATATATATATATATATATATATATATATATATATATATATATATATATATATATGCTACATATGTTTACTGGGTAGGGTTTAAAATTGCCTGAATAGCGCTGGCGAATGTTGGCTTGTTATGCTAAGTCCGAGTGTTACCTAGCAGGTGACTGGCTGTTTTTTAACTCTCACGAGGTGTTGGAGTTGACTGGTCAGGAAGGCGAGGTTAGTGTCTCAGTTGTGTTAATAACCTCGTGGCTCCTGATCTCGTCCGTCTCCGTTAGCATTCTTGGGTCTTCTATCGCCTTCGAAGTTGTTGATGCTTACCTGAGAGGTGCACCAGTGGGGGATCCTGTCGGGGTGCAGCAGACGTCGTAATGTATTGGTGAGACAGATATTCATTTCTTAAGGTCATACTTGAAAATTACTTCCTAACACGGCAACCCCCTCGTGCATTTTATTGCAGGAGTTTTAGTCGTGTCACATTATTTTTATTGAGCAAACTTGGGTACATCAGCGGTGTGTTGCTACTCTGTTCAATATGCTAGATATAATGAAAAAAGTTTCCATGTCTTATCCCATCACGCACGATTGAGTATTCATTAACAGTAATGAAATTTGTCAGCCTGAGCTGGGAGGCTTCAGCCAGGCAATGACGATATCGACTTGTATTACACAAAAGGTTTATCAAGTACAGGAGCTTCAAAGGTTTCCTCTCATTACTACTGCAGTTACGATCACTCGGGAATTACTATCTCCCAGGATAGTCTATTCTGTATACAACAAAAAACATAGAATTATTATGAATATATCTCTATATCAGAGTGGGCGCAAGAGAAATTATGAGACTTAATAATATTAATAAATGTAACTATACAGATGGAAAAGGGAAAGAGAAACCTGAATTACACAGATAGCGAGGTCTATGGACTCTCTCCCTCCACGAACATTGACACAGAAAATCTTGTATACCATTAAGTGGTGTTAGAAAGCAGCTCTTGGCCTGTTACCTTCCTTCACCTCTACCGCTTCTAGACCCCTCAAGGGAGGTTCCTTTATGCCGTTGAGGGCTCTTGATCCAAGGACTTGAACCCGACCTCTCCTTGGATCGAACCTAAATGCCTTCCAATTCCCCAGGCGCTGTTTGACCCCCTATGGGTTTAGCGGTCCCTCATGAAAGTGATAATACCGCCTTTAGAAGTACGAAAAAACACACACACACACACACACACACAGGAAGACGAGGTGGCATTTTAATGCACGTACAGAAGCACGCACACATGCATGTACACATACAAAGTTGAAACTTAAGAAGTTAGATCAAGCTTTTTCAGAATGTTTATTACAATACACATTGATCATCGTTTCCATGAACTTTCATTCGCCATCATCAGGATTGAATTTCTCGAACATAATAATGCAAAAGTCAGAACAAACATTGGCAACAATAAGTCGAGCAGGAATTTTTTTTTAAGTGCCAAATTTTTGTTCCCAGTTTATTAATGTGATTATGGGGAAGCGTTAAACCCGTAGGGGATCCTAGAGCATTTTCGAAATATGAGGTAATCAGGTTCAAGAAGGGTAGGGGGGTTCTTGATCCAATTCCTTAGATCCAGAGCATCTCTCTGGCATCGGTAGTCCCATTGCCTTTAATACCGCACTGGATTATTGTCATCATAGACATTTCATTGTGGTATACCTGGAGTATACCTGGACAGTGTTTCGGGGGTCAACACCCCCCGCCGCCCGGTCTGTGACCAGTCCTCGTGGTGGACTGTGGATTTTTTTATTTCCACTTGTAGCCTTCATTAAATTCAAGCATAATTTTCATATTCATAGAAAGCACTAAACCTGTGTGGGTCATTAAAATTTAAACTTAATCGTTTGCATAATTTGAAAAAAAAGAGAGTAACTTCCACTTGGCATCCCAAAATTAGTAACTAGTTGAGAAAAGATATTTACTTTTCGTGTTTCTGGAGGCCTATGTGTGACCGTTCTCTAGTTTAGTTTAATGTTAATTCCATCATCAATAATTCTTACTTGTCTCTGGCTTCAAAAAAAAAAAACATTCTTATATTCTGATCTTATGTTTATTAACAACAAATATGACCAAGATTGATAGAAATTAAACATTTTAATTCCAGCTTCCATAAACTTGAAAGTACTTCAGCAAACAGTTGAGGTTCTCGATATTACCAGCAGACTGGATTACGATTAAATCCTCAAGTGTTGCCTGAGAGAGCTGTCAGTGTAGCACGTTGTTAATACACAGAGTATTAAAACTTTCAGCTCTGAATCTAGCAGCGCGATTTGTATGATTATTTTCTGAGGGGTATATAATATGAAATTTTATTATATTCAAGAGTGTGGCGCTAAACCATGAAGGTTATACAGCGTCTTATAGGAATGGAAGGAAATCAGGTTCGATCTAAAGGAGGAAAATTCAGGTTCAGTTACTTAGATCAATAGCTCTTCGCCAGCGTCAAGAAACCTCTGATAGCAAAGAGAAAACTGTTCCTCTTTCCTAGTTTGTTATAGCTGATGCAATACAGTGTGCATTGCTTATCTGAATCCATCTTGATTCACTTGATTAATCACATGTATTATAATTATCTAGATACAATGCATAGAATTCTGAATCACTATGTGTAAGTTTGTCTCACCATGAGACTGGTTATAAATGGTATGTTGATACCAGCAAACTATGGGAAATAACACTTGTGTACAGTTCACAACACTTATTGAAGAATAAACGTCCTTAACTGTTGACAAGTGTTCTTTTCCACTGAGATTGATTCCTCGCATTCTGTCACTACCGGTAGATGTCTTATTCTTGCCTTCTATTGAGTATTTTGAGGGGTTGATTTTCATGAAGAGTTAATGAGCCCTGATAAGAAGTGTCATAGCTTTGATGGAGTGTTTGACGTCTCTCCAAGGATGCCAGGCCACACCACCATACTCATTACCTCCCACTGAGCGGTACCGGCCAGTGGGAAGAACATGATAACAGTTACTGTACCACCATCCTCCGTAGCCACCCAGCAGTTGAGAACAATTGCCATCTGAAAAGACCAACTCGTTAAAGACATTCTTGGCTGAAAGACAACGTTAATGACAGGACATCACAGCTACAATGGGCTACTTTAGCAAAAAAAATGTTAATCCTCATATCCTTGTGGGTTTAGTGCTTAGTTATCATTATAAGGTATTTTATCACATATAAGTAAATTGTTTAGAATTGCATGTAATCAACATAGATAACTAGGGCTACCCCTAATCAAAATATGACAGTCCATTATTAAGGTGCACATCTATTAAATAATCTGTAAATGACAATTTTTTCTACAATAAACTCTAACACTCATTACTAGTGACATGGGAAGCAAAAGCTTATAACTTGATGAGTTCATGAGGTTGAAAGCTTACAAATGTACAACCTCCTACCATTAACAACATAGCCAGCACTGGTGAGCAACTCCTTGATTCAATAAATGGTGAAAAGCTCTTGATTCAAAGAAGTGGAGCTACCCTTTTCTTTGTATCAAGCTGGTTCACTAGGTCCTGAAGCACACTGCGTTCGTAGGCTTTTATAGGATTATTAAATAAAAGAAACGTTGACATTGTGGCACAAAATTGGCTTTGTTCTGCCAACGGAAGGCCTCCGTCAGATGACCAAAATCTCCAACGGCGGGGTCATCATATATGGCTAAGACCCGCGTTAGGAAACACTTGTCCTGTTTCCTGACGAACCTTACCTAACTTATTTTCTGCTCTTTGCAAATTATCCGGTTAGGGTGAGCATGTGTTCAGGCACTGCGTACGCAATATTTTTTTTACGATGGCCTTTGGGCGTATGCCCTTAAGACCACTGCAAAAGAAATAAAATGTAAATTTAACTTAGGCTAATTTAATAAGGTCAATGGACGTGTTTCTACAAAAATTCTTGAGCCATCTACTCACCTTCGTTAGGTTAAAGTAGGTTGAATTTGATTAGGTCATACATTAGGTCATACTAGGATTTTTTGATGCAGCCTGACCATCCTCGTTAGGCTACAGTTGGCTAGGTTAGAGGTATCTGGAACAGTCTGTTCACCCTTGTTAGGTTAAGTTAGGAAATCTTGAGAATTGTACTGACCCTTGTTAGTATCGTCGTCCTTGTCGTAGGTGGAGAATTTCATACCATTGTGAATCTTGAGACCGTCTCCTGCATTGCTGTCAGCCTCAAATTGGTCCACTGTGAGTTTGTAGTTCTCCTCAGGTCCACCCACTCTGTACCACAACACTTGTATTACCAATCTCTTCTCAGAACTATACACTTTTCGTTTTTTAACGTGCTTACCTGTGTCTGTTCCTAAATGTTATAACCCTACAACAAAACTGTTATTTTTTTTATTACGTTACTTAATCTTTTTTTCAATACAACAGTCTTCTCCCACCTAGGTACGGTGATCAAAAAAAAAGAGGAAACACATGCACCATCTCTTACTCAGTCGTTGTCTTGCAAAAGTGTGCTGGCGATACAGCTCAGATGATCCAATATTTATCCTGTATTTAATCTTAATTATCATAAATTCATCGATATTAGCTAAATAAGATAGATGGAAGGGTAACGTCTTGTATAAAAGCCAATTCAAGGTTAACTATCAAAATTAAAACCTTTAATGAAATAGGGTACAATGTGTTTGTTCTTAGGGTAGATGTACGCAGCAGTAACAACTTTGTCATTAGGTTACGACTAAAATCTTTTTATAGAAATTATAATGCACAAGGCAGCATTGGGGACGTGAGCTTTTTAAGGCCGAACTCTGAAATATAGAAAAACCTATGTAAAATTCGCTGTGCTTTCAAAAGTGTCTTAATATTGTGTTTCAGGCACTGGACATGTTATTGACTGAAGGCGAAGCATCAGTGATGCAGAAGTGATCCTTAAGTCTTAGCAGTGCTATCCAACAATGCAGACGTCACCAACCTGCGGTAATACACTGCAATGTATTTGATTACTTTAGTTAATGTCCACCAGAATACACACGATGTGGTTTTAATTTTTGACATAGTAAACCAATAACGCGGAGGAAGGACATATAGCCAAATGATCTAGTTAGCGACTTATTAATTAAAACTGGTGCTAGGAAACACGTCTATTGTTTTCTGATAATAAAATACCACCAAGCGGCTAGTTGACAGTCCTGGCAGTGGCACAAATGTACTAGAAAATGCTATAGGAAAGCTAAACTACGCTTAGATCTTATTTATCGACGATTACCTGAAGACCTTGTATTGTGCCCATGCTTTTTGTCCGTTAAAGTCCTCTAATGCCACTCTGAGCTGGTGAGGACGCCAGGTGGTTAAACGATGGAGAAGGTCGTTACCTGAAGATGTAAAAAATAAGAACCTTCAGATGTGTTGTCCATAAATTAAACTATATATATATATATATATATATATATATATATATATATATATATATATATTATATGTATACAGTGGAACCTAGGGTCACGACCGTAATTCGTTCCAAAACTCTGGTCGCGACCCGATTTGGCCGTGACCCGAACCTAATTTCCCCACTGGATTGTATGTAAATATGATTAATCCGTTCCAGACCCCTACGAACTGTATGTAAATATTGTTTTTTTTTTAAGATTATTAAGCACAAAAAGTTTATTATACCATAGAATACACAGTGCAATAGTAAACTAAATGTAAAAAACCTTGAATAACACTGAGAAAATCTTGAAGAACAGAAAACTAACATTTCACGAGTCCTAAAAGCTTCAAGGAGCGACTAATGGCTGAGCAGTGAACTCCGTTATTTATTGTCCGATTTCTTTTATTTTTTTGTGTATGTTACGAAGCATCTTTCCATCATACAATGCCCAAGTTTTAATAAGATAGCCCAAAAAACAACTGAGAAAAAAATATTTACCAAAAATCATGTATGGCAAGCCCTAGCCGGATACCGGCACTGTGAGAAGCCGTTTCGGTACTACCTGCTGATAAAACATTGCGAATCCGAATTTATCAGTCATAATTACAAGAAGTGGGGAGAAAATTGGCACGTGAGAAAAAATGACACGGAATGTGAAAATTGGAGCGACTGTGTTTGTTCGGCACCCGATTATGTGTTTGTGACCCGATGCAAAAATTGGGCAAATTTATGGGTCTTGTACCGATATGTTCGTGTTCGGAAACGTTCGTGACCAGAGGTTCTACTGTATATATTTATGTATATATATTTATGAATATATATATATATATATATATATATATATATATATATATATATATATATATTATATAATAATATACATATACATATACACTATATGCATACATGGAATGGAAGGAATAAAATGGCAATGAAATGGAAGCCAATAAAATTAGATCCAGGGAAAGGAGAGCATCTTCAGTTTATTAAATCAAGAGCAAGTGTTCACCTATCCAGTACTCCTCAGAGGGATCACCAAATCCATCCTGGTACTCGCGGTATGTGCGATTGAACCTCTCGCGTCCGTTTGACCTGGAAAGAATGACTGTCCACCCTACGGCTCCACGGCTCAGCTCACAACGCACCTATGAGACATGAAGATCATTTGAAATGCATTCTGTATATAACTGCATAACAATTCTGCCCTGTAACTTCAGTATTCCTTGGCCATGCAGCTCCCATGACCCACACAGATTTAGTGCTTTTAGTAAAAATAATGTAATTTAATTAGAATCATAAACGTGAGTGTTAAACACCTTATTACCATATTAGTCATATTTTCATGATTTTCATTTGTCGTGAATCAGACCCACTGAACTCTCACCCATCTACAACTTCCAAGCCTAAAAGAACATTATCCCAAAGCATACCAGCGTTGGCTTGTATTTGGGCGGCTTGATGGTGTATACACCCACTGTGGCCTCGTTAGTGCTGCCTGGGGCGTTACTGTGCAGGTCCTCGGCTACCTCCTGGCATGATGGCTTGTACATCTTGCCCAGGATAAGATCAGTTTCTTCACGGAGTTCACTTAACTCTTGCTTCACTTCTTGAACTGAAGACTCCAGCTTCCTATGGTCATTCCTCATGGTCCTCAAGATGGTGTCAAGTGTGTTCTCAATCTGTTGAAGATATCATTTTGGTTGATAAATACAGGAAAGGTCAAAGTCGCATAATCTTTGGGAAGAAGTTCAACATATTAACAAATACCTCACTCGGAAGATATTCTAGACAGTTTCTGCCCATCCTTGATCATTATAGTCAAGGTATTGTGATTGTTTCTGGATTTTACATAATTAGGATGGAGAGAGAGATTATGAATTAATGAATTTGGCTGTTTTGTTAGATTTGAAGCCCATCGACTGCACGAAGTTCATAAAAGTTTAGCTGAAGTTTGTTTTAAACTGTCATCAGTCAGTTGACACTTGACTGGTGCCGAAAGTGACGTTCAGTATTTAATGTTTTGGCCGTATGTTCCATGATTTTAGTTTTGTTAAAATCTCTGCACACATTTTATATCAAATAGATCCAGCAATTATATTTTTACATTTTTAAATGAGCGGCTAACTTGTTAATTTCATTATTCAAAAAACACAACTTACATAAGTTCATGAACAATAAGAAATTAAAAATTATGTACAACATTAATAAATACATTTATGCAAGTGTCACATACCATGGAAGTGATGTACAGTTGCGGAAAAAAGTTCCTATACTCTCCTGGGCAGAAATAATATCAGTCAACTCTCATGTAGTAAAGACGATTTTCATGAATAAATTAGCGCAACTTGTAACATCGATGGTGATTGGTTGACAAAATTAATTTCCAGTACTTTCTGCGTATATAAAAGTAGATTTATGAATGCAAATGTAAATTAATTACCATCTGATTATATCCAATATTATAAAACCATAAAAATGATTTGAAAAGGTGACCAAAGGAAGTCATATCTACTCACGTGAAGTATAATTTTGATGGATGAATTGTTTTTATTTTTTTTTTTTTTTGTTAAAAATTGTTTTTCTAAAAAGCATTCCTTAAAAAAAGAATTTTTTTTTTCTTAAAAATTTTATTGAAAAGAAAAATATGGTTTGTGGTATGGTTTGTTTGCAATTTTTTCTTTAAAAATAATTTTAAATTTTCTAAAGCAAAATTTAAAAAATCTATTTATTTAATTTTTTCCTCTAAAAATATTTTTTTTATAAAATAAAATTCTTAAAAAAACTCTCTCTCTCTCTCTCAAAAAAAAAAAAAATATATATATATATATATATATATATATATATATATATTTATTTATTTATTTATTTATTTATATATTTTAAGAGTTTTTTTAAGAAAAAAAATTTTGTTCTGAGAAAAACAATTTTGTTAAAAAATTAAACAAATTTTTCTTAATTTTTTTAAGAATTTAATAACTGATGTATGATGGTTACGCACCATCATACATCAGTCATATCATTATACTTCCTTTACAGTATATTCAGTCACCTTTACAAATATTTTCTACGGTTTTATAATACTGGATATAATATCCAATATTAATTCATATTTGCTGACCTGGTATAGTCAATAGGCTTCAAATCCAAGAAACGAATCTTTCGGTGTCTGTGTGTGTTAAAGCAGCATTCTGCTAACTAGACAAGTTACATTTTGAATTGTTTACAATAATAATGGTTCAGTTACAACAGTAATAAAATGATAATATTCTCACCGTGTTTTGTTGAGCATCAGCAGCTGTCTGGGGAATAGTGGCTGCCCTTGAGATGGCTGGGTTTGTTCTGGCTGCATGGTTCACCTGAGCCATGCAAACCATCATCACCCCTAACACAGTCACAGCTGCTCTCAGCATCTTGTAGGACAGGCTCTACTGAGAAGAGGAAATAGTAATTTAGTAAACAACGGTATATAGATTCAGTTCTGTTAGGCCTAGCTAATGATCACCTTTCATTACCGGCCTAAGTCAACATCTTTTGTGACCAAGACTTCTTATAAACTGGCAAATTTCAATTAGGTGTTGCTTAAGCATCTATCTAGCTCAATGTGCGCCTAGAGTTCATCATGTGAGTATTAAGCCTACAACTAGAGTACGTCAGTTGTAGGCTGAAATATGCAGTACTGCCGTTAACCTGCTCCTCTCTCTAAATGTGTGTGTGTGTGTGTGTGTATATATATATATATATATATATATATATATATATATATATATATATATATATATATATATATATATATATATATATATCATGTGTGTGTTTGTAATATAAAATCACACTAATTAAAAAAAACTCATTTCATAGAGAATAATCTCTTACAGTATTTTTTTTATCCATTTTCAAAAAGTGAACCAAAAATTTGTTCTCTTCACAGGGCAAAGGATTCACCAATGGAGAAAAAAAAATCTTAAAGAAATCAGAAAAATATATAATTTCGCACATGTCAAATTGCTGATTATTATTTGATTATTAATTTATCGCTGTTATGATGGAGTTCAGATATCTACAAAATTATCTTCATGAAGATAATGTATTTTTTTTTAACTATTTCTGCATTTTTAATTTGTGGAAAAATATTATGGTACGTCTTAATGGCGTCAATAGCCGTTAGATTCTACACAGAATAATATAATCACATTCCATTTGGGTTAAGAATAAAGGATCGTATATTACTGGCAAGTAGGATTAGCTGGGTGAATCCAAGGGAGAAATGTCTACATGTTTACGCATGTTGAATCATTATTTACAGAATTTGTTCACAGACGTTTACAATGTATATACGCTTGAATCTAAGATTAAAAATTATTCTATAGATGATTGTTAACCCGGAGGGTTATCAACCCAGGATAACCCAATAAAGCCACGTCATCAGACAGGTTTGTTGCCACTGATGTCTTTCAACCCTCAACCCTATGATGAGACCCACGTTGTTCGGCCCAAACCCAGGTACCTATTTACTGCTAGGTGAAGAGTGTCAGCAAGTGTAAGGAGACATACCCAATGGCTACATTCGAACCCCAGTCCCTCAAGTGTTTGAGTTGAGGCCGATATCAATTAAATCCTCCTAAAATTAAATTAAATGTTATGCGCTCAGTATAACTAATTCCCACCTAAATGAAAACAGAACGGCATTTCGGTCCTTCCTGAATAAAGTAATTAGTACTCACAGTATGGATATGAACACTGTATTAAGGAGGCTAATGTGGCTGCAGGCGCGTGTCGAGAGGGCTGTGTATGTAGCCCGTGGGTATACTTGGCACTGGTCTGGTTACTATGGTGCCAGCCAAACCATGGGTACCCCAACAAGGAGGCTCTGTGCTCTGCCCGAGAGGCACAAGGGCCTCTCTGACGCGGAGGCCAGAACCTCCTCACGCATACTTCTCATGCATCAACCTCAAATATGACCTTTCAATTACGCTATGCGTATTACTACGCACTTTTTACAGGCTGATGATTGCAAGTGTAAATTTGAAAACTAGGCTCATAAGACATGTTTGTCAGGTAAGACCTACTGAGTGAACGTGGGTCTTTATTGTTGCAATTCGCCTCAATAAAATAATAGCACATTACATATATTTGTTAGGTAAGACACATATGCAACAGTTAGGTATCTTTATTATGAAACGTTTCGCCTACACAGTAGGCTTCTTCAGTCAAGTACAGAAAAGTTGATAGAAGCAGAAGATACTTGAAGACGATGTAATCAGTCCATCACCCTTAAAGTTTTGAGGTGGTCAGTCCCTCAGTCTGGAGAAGAGCATTGTTCCATAGAATGAAACAATATGGAGAAGAAGTGACAGGATGGAGCTTTATATAGCGCCAAGAGGTGAGACGTAGGCCACTAGGAGAGGTAAGAACTCAGATGTTGAGAGGTCAGGTCCCTCTCAAATCCTCATTACATATATTTTACTACGATATCCCAAGTAAATCAATGTCACGTAAATGTATTTGGATCATAGCGAAGCGTCGTATCTAGGGTGACACTTTCCAGTGGCGCTGGAAGGTACCTCGACCATGTAAATAATCTAAAAATAAGTAATGAATAAGTATTATGGTGAGTGTTGGAGTTTGTATTTTTACCATGATAGTATACTTCTAGTTCTCACTGATTTTAGATATAATTCTTTTTCTTCGTATTTTAAGGTAAATAAGAGACGTATGTTGATAAAGTGTTAATAGATAAATATTATCACTCTTCTTTTTTGAAGTTGTGGGTATAAATATACCGGACCTCGGCCTGACGTCACCTAGTGCTGTCAGTCTCACTGTGACGTGTTGATCCGAAGAGTGACTGACCGCCAGTGTGAGGCAGAGTGACTGAGAGCCAGTGTGAGGCAGAGTGACTGAGAGCCAGTGTGAGGCAGAGTGACTGAGAGCCAGTGTGAGGCAGAGTGATGAGAGCCAGTGTGAGGCCAGAGTGACTGAGAGCCAGTGTGAGGCAGAGTGACTGAGAGCCAGTGTGAGGCAGAGTGACTGAGAGCCAGTGTGAGGCAGAGTGACTGAGAGCCAGTGTGAGGCAGAGTGACTGAGAGCCAAGTTTTTGAGGCAGAGTGACTGAGAGCCAGTGTGAGGCAGAGTGACTGAGAGCCAGTGTGAGGCAGAGTGACTGAGAGCCAGTGTGAGGCAGAGTGACTGAGAGCCAGTGTGAGGAGAGTGACTGAAAAGCCATGTGAGGCAGAGTGACTGAGAGCCAGTGTGAGGCAGAGTGACTGAGAGCCAGTGTGAGGCAGAGTGACTGAGAGCCAGTGTGAGGCAGAGTGACTGAGAGCCAGTGTGAGGCAGAGTGACTGAGAGCCAGTGTGAGGCAGAGTGACTGAGAGCCAGTGTGAGGCAGAGTGACTGAGAGCCAGTGTGAGGCAGAGTGACTGAGAGCCAGTGTGAGGCAGAGTGACTGAGAGCCAGTGTGAGGCAGCATGACTGACCGCCAGTGTGAGGCAGAGTGACTGACCGCCAGTGTGAGGCAGAGTGACTGACCGCCAGTGTGAGGCAGAGTGACTGACCACCAGTGTGAGGCAGAGTGAATATGGATTGTACTCGGAAAAAGTTATATTGTGGATTATATGTCATCAATATTTCATTCGTTGATCGACAATGCAAAAAAAAAAAATTGGGGTCATTGAGAATAAAGAAATTTCAATTGTTTGTCAAAAATTTTCAACTGAATTATCCTAAGGAACTTACAGCTGCCTTACGATGTTGTTATAAATTAAAAATTTATGAATCTAATTTAAAACCCATTTTAGTTTTAATTTGCTTTTACAATTTTTTTGTAGTCAAAATCTCATTTTCAGTCTTCATTTAGGCCTACTGACACAAGGCGCCTTTTGGTAATTTTTCAATTTATGATTTTAAAAAACCCGGTGTATTTTACATCTTTATTATGACGTATTAACTTCTACACTATTTTATTTCTTATTTCGGAATGGGTAATTGTCTTTTTTTTATAAGTCGTCTAAACTTTTCCCATTTAAACTTTAGAAAAAAGGGGTAATAATACAAAATATATAAAAGTAGTTTTATTTGTAATGATATTTTTTGTAAAAGGTTAATTTTACACTAGGATAGAAATTATAATAAACCTGATAAGGAAACGAAATTGTGCAATAAAACAGCATTCGATTAACAGCATTTCATGCACTGCATTGTGTGCTCAGCATGACAAAAAAAGCTGTGTTTACTTAACAGAAATCACGAAAGAGATTTTTTTTGTCATAATCGCTCAGACTTTTTTTTCATACTTTTTATATACAGGATTTTTTCCTGTCGTATTCCATCACAGAGGGTTGGGTGTCCTCTCGTCCATACTCCATCAGATAGGATAGTTTTCCTGCCTTAGTAAATCAACAGGATGTTCGTCCTCTTCGACCTGACAGTCTTCTGACTTTCTCCTGTTTTCTCAAATTTGCTACGTGGTCCAAGACGGGCCGAATTGTGACGGGTTAATTGTGAAATGTTCCAGCACGGTATTGATTTTATTGTAAGACTGACACTCGTACATAGTTTTGCTTTTAAAAGCAGGAAATTGACGCTAAATTCTTGTCATGTAAATGTTTCCCGATTTTTTTGTGTGTGATTGGGTTGGAAAAATAACTAAAAACAATGTTATTTTGAAGCTTTTATTGTATATAACCTTTTATAATTGCTTTTATTTAAAATACGAGAAAGAGTCATATAAAAGGAACTTCTCCCAAAAATGTATATGAATTATCAACGTTGTACATTAAATTTTAATGCATGTAAAAGCAAGAAATATCAGCAGGTTTATGCTCGTACATTTTTTTTTGACCTCGATACACGCATTTTGGTAACATTGATCAAGCCCACATATATATTATTTATGCGACTCGCTACATCTTAGGAAGTCATTCAGGGCCATGAGTGCCGGAGCCTCGATCCTCCGTCTCAGTACGAGAACAAGCTACCTGTGTTTACTTATTAAATACCGTACTTGTAGGCCTCGTTTAAATGAAATATTCCTGTTTTTGGCTAGTTACCTTAATACAGTTTAGAAAGTAAATTTTGTGGTAAAAACGTTTTTTAACCCGTGTTTAATGATTTGCAAGTCTTGCCCCGTTCTCCTACCCATTAATTTTGTTATCGTTTCTGGCATGCTGCACATAACTTAGCTGAACAATGTTCTCTTATTATTTTTACGGAAGGTTGATTCCTTTTTGGCATCCATGTGACATAGCGTAAGACACTTACCTATGAGAGCCCCAGTGAGAGACTGTCATCTTTATCTCTTTCCACGGGATTTTCTCGCTTCTGGTGTGTTAGTCTTGAATATTTCACTATAGATACAGAAAAGTTATGGTCGGTATATTTGTAATTTGTTGTCCTCGTCTTGAAAAAATACACAAATGCAGCTTAAGTACAATCTTTCATTGTTTGAGTTTGAGTAAAACCTGCCTAGTATGGGCCAGCAGGCCTGCAATATTGTTCCTCCTTTCTTATGTTCTTCTTTAAGTAACCTCCAAATAGTGGGCTTTGGGAAGCCAGAAAAAAACAGCCTTGAGGTGTGAGCGAAACGTCATCAATAAAGAATCGCACCATACTGAATTTTTGTGTCTTTTTTTTTCCAGCGTGTCTATATTTCATACTGCCTCCACTGTCATCACCCTATTTTTCGTATCTTAGCGTCTTGCTCAAGTATGTTGATTTCCATATTTCATTTTTTCCTATAATACGTCTAAGTCAACGTGTTGGGCTGGAAGGTAGCGGCATACTGCTCGTGTATTCATTTTTTCTGAAGCAGAGAAGATTCATTCAGGTTCTGTAGTCATACTGCCCAACGTAATAATGGCTACGTGGTTCATGTGTTGCATATTCAGGGCGTGATTGGTTTACAATGGCGAGGAATAAATTATTTTTCTTCCTTTAAATCGATGCAGAAGATAAAGGGAGAATGAGGGTGGTCGTGACAGTGTCAGGTGGGAAGCACTGTCCAGTTATCACTGTTGCAGGTGTGTGAGAAGGATAAGGGCGGTCACTGACAGAAGCCTATGTAGTGTTATCATAGTTCTGTCTCCAGGGTAGCGAAAGGACGGTCAGCACCGATGAGTTCATCAAAGAGAGCCAGGCTCTCGAGGGAGTGACTCCGGTACCTGCAAGACAAAAACAACCATTATAAGCATATTCACGGGGGGTTTTCATTGCCTGAATAATGGAAGATGTGTGGGTTTGATCCAAGGAGTGGGAGAGTAGTTTAACAGCCTTTCACCCGCGCCAAGGCACCCATCTACCTCCCTTGTAGGGGGTAAATGGGCTTTAATTTTGTCTTGATGGGGAGAGGATACGGAGACACAAGGGACATTGGAACCAGCGGAGATAACACGTGTGTTAGGGCGTCTTGGGGATGAGATTTGTTTACCTGTCTGTGTATAAACGTTTATTTTTGCTACTTTCTTAAGCTTAAGACTTATATACATAAACAAAGATATTGTAAGTTTGTAGGCCTGAGATACAGAATTTCTTTGCCTAAAGTTCTTTGCGTATATAATTATTCTTACATTAGCGCAAAAGACACTTGTTCTCTTAAATGGAAAATACTTCTCAATAATATACTATCAGTTCAAGGGTTTTCATGTGTACTTATAACAATCAAGAGTGTAAGAGTAACTAGCTTTCAATATTTGAGAGGCACACCAGCAGTAGTCAGCATTATCTTGTTACTTATTGGTTACCGTTCCGAACAAGATCTGTGTTTGCTAAACTGATCAAACTTTTGGCACTTGCTGCAAGCAGACTGCCGTAAGCATCACATCCCGGCTGATTAGGAAGTGTTTGCAGAAACCTATTTCATTTTACAATTAAAATATATTACCGAACTCTAAATGAGCATTTCCGTCCAAATAAAGGTAGTAATTATTGACCTGTGAGATTCCGGGAGTGAAGAGTCAGCAGATTCAGTGAGTTCCGTCTCTCTCCGTCTCCAAGAGTCCAGACGAGACTCGCAGTATCGTAGTAGTGTTGACACTAAGTCACCAACCCTCCAGTTTCGGTCACCCAGCAAACGACACACAATGTCCATCTGAAACACACAATCTAGTCAGTGAAAATGTTTCCTCAGACGTCTTCACCCTCAGAATAATAGCCTAATATTTGATTTTGAACGATCCTGCAATGAGATTATAACTACCAGTTTGGTTTCCTGTCCAGTGGATGGTCACGTAGCCATATTTAGTTTATAAGACGAAGCTCAAATATTAAATTTTAATAAAATGTTTTGTATAACGAGCATTTTTGTTCTCTATATGGCCTAATTCGATAAATTTCTCTATCCATAAACCTTTGATACTGCTTCACTCTCCCATGCTTGCCCTTGTCTCTCATGGGCCAACAAAAAAAGGGATATTTAGCAACTAAAATATTTAATAGAGATGAGGGCAAATTGTTACACGTTGTTACACGTTATTCCTGAAGAACTTGGCTAACAGAACATGAATCATCCGTATTACATACTAGTCTTAAAGAACTTGGCAAACAGACAATTGGTAGCTAGTTACATGCTATTCTTGAAGTTAATCAACAAGAGCACTACTATATTACATGTTCTTGAAGTTAGTTAACAATAGTTACATGCTCTTCCTCTGACGTACCTTAACAGTGTTGTGGTCGCCGTAGGTGTAATAGATGAGTTTAGGCGCTCCAGCCTTGCTGGCAGCTGCCCACTGGATCATTGCTTCACGTCCAGATTACCAGTTCAGTAACATCCATTGCCATGCAGTCCCATCATGTTTAAAAAAAAAGTTAAATTACGAAAACAAAATTTACTGAATGAGACGCAGGCTATAGGCCTATTACTTATGAGGTCTATTTTTGTTTGAAATTGTACTGGAGGCCTCAAATCTCTTATTGTTCTCTCTCTTCAAGTTTGGTGCTTTGATTCTTGTGAAAGGCTTTTGATCTAAGGAATCAGAGTTCTCATCCTCTTGGGTAATACCTGATTACCTTCTATTCCCCAGGTGTTATGTTACAGGCATGTCCTGATCACTTCCCCACTGACATGTCTCGACATACATGTACATGTCAATGTATTCCTATGAGTAAACAGGTAGCTGCTAAAAATTATTGATAATAAAAATATGAATATTCTCACCATCTCTGGCAAGTTTGCTCGAGTGAATGATGGTGTATGAGTTGTACAGTGAAGGTCAGTCACTGTGAGTTGTACAGTGAAGGTCAGTCACTGTGAGTTGTACAGTGAAGGTCAGTCACTGTGAGTTGTACAGTGAAGGTCAGTCACTGTGAGTTGTACAGTGAAGGTCAGTCACTGTGAGTTGTACAGTGAAGGTCAGTCACTGTGAGTTGTACAGTGAAGGTCAGTCACTGTGAGTTGTACAGTGAAGGTCAGTCACTGTGAGTTGTACAGTGAAGGTCAGTCACTGTGAGTTGTACAGTGAAGGTCAGTCACTGTGAGTTGTACAGTTAAGGTCAGTCACTGTGAGTTGTACAGTGAAGGTCAGTCACTGTGAGTTGTACAGTGAAGGTCAGTCACTGTGAGTTGTACAGTGAAGGTCAGTCACTGTGAGTTGTACAGTGAAGGTCAGTCACTGTGAGTTGTACAGTGAAGGTCAGTCACTGTGAGTTGTACAGTGAAGGTCAGTCACTGTGAGTTGTACAGTGAAGGTCAGTCACTGTGAGTTGTACAGTGAAGGTCAGTCACTGTGAGTTGTACAGTGAAGGTCAGTCACTGTGAGTTGTACAGTGAAGGTCAGTCACTGTGAGTTGTACAGTGAAGGTCAGTCACTGTGAGTTGTACAGTGAAGGTCAGTCACTGTGAGTTGTACAGTGAAGGTCAGTCACTGTGAGTTGTACAGTGAAGGTCAGTCACTGTGAGGTGTACAGTGAAGGTCAGTCACTGTGAGGTGTACAGTGAAGGTCAGTCACTGTGAGGTGTACAGTGAAGGTCAGTCACTGTGAGGTGTACAGTGAAGGTCAGTCATGTGAGGTGTACAGTGAAGGTCAGTCACTGTGAGGTGTACAGTGAAGGTCAGTCACTATGAGGTGTACAGTGAAGGTCTGTCATTGTCAGTTGTACAGTGAATGTCTGTCATTGTCAGTTGTACAGTGAATGTCTGTCATTGTCAGTTGTACAGTGAATGTCTGTCACTGTCAGTTGTACAGTGAATGTCTATCATTGTCAGTTGTACAGTGAATGTCTGTCACTGTCAGTTGTACAGTGAATGTCTGTCACTGTCAGTTGTACAGTGAATGTCTGTCACTGTCAGTTGTACAGTGAATGTCTATCATTGTCAGTTGTACAGTGAATGTCTGTCACTGTCAGTTGTACAGTGAATGTCTGTCACTGTCAGTTGTACAGTGAATGTCTATCACTGTCAGTTGTACAGTGAATGTCAGTCACTGTCAGTTGTACAGTGAATGTCTTGTACCTGAGGAACTGTGCTCTCCTCAGAACATTTCTATGTTAATCATTTTCTCACAAGTCTCCAGTGCCACAGATTAGTTTACTATTTTCATTCAAGTTAGACTATCAGATTTATAATAAGAGCGTGGGTAAGAACTTTGTTGAGAACTCACTCTTGCTGAACCGATTTCCATTAAAAGTTAAATAAACTTTGTTTAACAAGTTATTTTTCGTAAACTTTTAAGTTTTTATTTTCATCTTAAGCCCACCGAGCTCTCATAAGTATAATTTAAATTTATAGCGAAATTATAACTATATCGCTATAATCTTTCCTTAAGACACCGAGGTTTGCACTCAGTGCTAAGTAATGTATTGTTTTATTGTTTAGTTATCGTGGGAAGAGTTAAAATGAGGACTACTAAGTATGAAAGTTACAGCAGACGTTAAGTTTAACTACATTAAGGTGATGGTTAAATTATAAGTTAAGGTACCAAGCTAAGAAGAGTAAGTAGTTTATTTGTAGCAACCAAGGAGTGACGCCAGCCAACAACTAGTATCTAGAAGGGTTTGAGCTGATATCATTGACTTAAACTAGACTTGAGATTAGATGCAGCTGAATGGGTAATGTGTCGATTTCAAAAGGTTAGTTGGGTGAAGAAGGAAAGTCTCACAATACAGTAAGCTGACAATGAAAACTGGGCGCCCTTTAAGCTTGTCCGGGACCATTATTAAGTCGCAAATGGGAATTTTTTTCTCTTCATTACATCGCAAAATCAGGCGTGACCTAGCCTAACTTTGGCTGCGTTCTTCCTTTCCTATGCCATGACCAGATTTCTGGTATTTCTTCCTCGCTACTTGATAATGGTCCTGGATGGACAGAAACGTCTCGAACCAGTTTACTAGACGGGGGTTAGTCAACTTATTGCCAGGCTGGTGACTTTTGCTGTACCTTTGAGTTGGTGGTCACCCCGCAACGAGCCACAGCCCCAGTTCCCAGTCACCACAGGCTTCCCCCGGCCCTGAGCTCACATAGGTAAGTACAGTATTTCAAAGTAACAAATTAACTTTCAAATGGATATATCAAGTATAGTACATAAAACCTTTGTGTGTTCCAGATATTAGCATATTATTATTATACTTTTGAATGTTATTTATTGTCCATATCAGATTTTTAACCATGCCAACATAATATTAACACGGGGACAAAGATACAGCTCTAAAACAAGTTTTCATTAGGAAAACCTTTCGCTCTATGTAGAGCTTTATCAAAGAGCGAAACATTGTCCCAGTAAAAGTATGTCTGTAATTTGTCTTTGCTTATATATTTGTCAGTCATAAGCTATTTCGTCCATAATTTTAACATTATTCCAGTAATTCTTTATTCACATGGCGAGAACCTACCTTGAGCTTGGATAGTGTTGGTGGGTGGAGTGCGTGGGCACCCCGCCCACGGTGTTCTGAAAGACTGAGGGAGCGAGGCAATAAGTGTCCCTCACTCTCAGGTCCTCTCACTGCTAACCCATCAAGACCCAGGGTCACATCCTTGTAAGACTCGCTCAGGGCTCGCTGGTAGCAAAGACCGTAATAAAAGAATTATAAACCTCTCGGCAAACGTTCATGGCTAGACCTGTGTCAAAGCAACCATAAAGGTACCAGATTAACGCTTGTACCATCCTACCATGTTGGCCTACTAAGGTTCATTTTGTGGTTCATTTAATACTATAAAGGGACTAGAGCTAGAGCTTGTCGCTGCCATGTATGTGTAAAATGCACACTTAAAATCCTTCACTTTAGGAGACAGGTGAACCTGGCGATGGCGAGGAACAAGTTGCACAACCAAAGGAATCCTGGTTTGAATCCCTGGTTAAGTGAAACAAATAGCAAGTCTCTTACCACTTGCTCCTCATGCTCTGCTAGTAGTAAATAAGTATTTCGGTATTAGTCAGATGATACAGGTCGTATCCTAGGAAGAACACAAGTGAAAATGAAAGGCTACTATTAAAATTCATTCTAGGTAAAACAAGAAACTTGAAAATCCTTACCTTGAGGAGGCTGTGTGCGAACCTTGCAATAGCCGCCGTGCGAGGCCCTAGCTGCCCCTCCAACTGCTCCTCCAGCACCGCCCCCAGCTGCTCGTAAACATCCTCGAGGTCTGTGCAAGTATGCAGTATTCTGTATACTACTGAAGTAATGCCATGGTTTTATATTTACCTCAGTTCTTATAAGTATATAATAATACGTATACTTAAACAGTCCAGCAAATAAGGAGCACTTGCATATTGAACAATTGACATTTTATGAACGTAATGAAAAGACTTCCTCTCTAAGCAGTTATGCTTTCGTATATTCATGTAGATAAATTCTCAACATTTCTGACATGTGCCAGGGCATTACACGAGGATTACCTGATAAGTAATCAGAACTGAAGGAATAGTGGGAGGACCCTGATTCAGCTTCTTCTTCCTCTTTGCCTCCATCCTCCTGGTCAGACGAAGCTGAGCCTCTATGCTCTTCCTTCTCTACACTAAACTCCCGAGGAAGGTCATCATTCAGCACGAAGCCTCCTGACTCTTGTCTTGATACTCTGGAAATACACACAGATTACCTAAATATACTGGGCAGGATAGATTCATCCAGAACAACTCAGTCATATTTAACAGCTAAGAGCTACGTGAGACATAAAAAACGTCTGTCATGTAGGAGCTTTATCACTTTAATATGATAAGATCCTGAAAGATACCTCGTTGATTCACTAAGGTATCATATTCCATGTGTCTTGTACGTCCACCTAGGAGGTAATTTTTTCTCCTGCTTAGATAACGACCCACAACAGTTTACTGCTTTGCATGAATATATAAACACAACTGTTTGTTAGGTCACCTTGCGTGTCTCTCCTCGGTGTCGTGGGCGCTGTGAGCGTGGATCAGGTCGGGATGTTCTGAATCTATGCTCGACTTGCGGGCAAGAGCTTCCTTCAGCCTCTCAGCAAATGAGGACTTCCTTCTCGTCTTTTTACCCCTCTTCCTTGAGGGTCTTCTGGGTCTGGAAACTGTAAGGAAGGTGGGAGAGAGAGAGGTACTCGTTTTACAGAGAGATCACTTCTGGATGTCGCTGCCAAAACACACACACACACACACACACACACACACACACACACACACAACACACACACACACACACACACACAGCGCGCCACACATCAATCATAGGCTGCAGCATATGAGGCCCTGCAAACCTAGAAAGCATTACCGACAGACCTTACGTAAGGAATCATCAAACACTGTACACCGTGATGTCAGGCCATACTGAGTTGCAGACCTGGTTGGAACCCGCATCTGATAAAGCACGTCAAGAACTAGAGAAATACTAAAGATTTGCAACAAGTAGTCCAGAGCAAGGGAATGTCTATGTAGAAAGATAAGAGAATCGCGCTACGACACTGAGGACAGGAGGGTCAGGGAGATCATGATAACGACATCAAAAATACTGCGTGGATAGACAAGTGGACAGAAACAGATGTTCAGGAGGTTACACAGATAATTAGGGCTCAATATGGAAGTTGAGAACAAATGAATCAGAGAGATAGTAGAATATTTCTCGTCATAGAGTTGTAAGGCAGTGGAAACCAGAAAATGACGTAGTGATAGCAGGAACCATACACAGTTTTAAGACGGTTTGATAAGTCACATGGAGCGGAGATGGAGGGTCCACCAACCCGTTGAATGAGGCGTGGCCAGGAGCTAGGGACTCGACCCTGCAACACAAATAGTTGAGTAAACAAAAACACACAGTACCAGCAGACTTCAAAGAGACCTGACAGACTGGACACCTGGTCCAGAAATGGCTTTCTCTCGAATTTAATCCTACAAATGTCAAAGTCATGAAGATAGGGGAAGGGCACAGAATGACCACAGACAGAGTAATAGCTAGGTGCCAAACACTGCAACCTCACTCAAGGAGATAAGATCTTGGGGTGATATAACACCGACATGTCTCCGAAGCACACATCAATCAGATAACTGCTGCAGCATATGGCGCCTGCAAACCTGAGAACAGCATTCCGATACCTTAGTAAGGAATCATTCAAGACACTGTACACCGTGTATGTCAGGCCCATACTGGAGTATGCAGCACCTGTTTGGAACCCGCACTTGATAAAGCACGTCAAGAAACTAGAGAAAGTACAAAGGTTTGCAACAAGGTTAGTTCCAGAGCTAAGGGGAATGTCCTATGAAGAAAGATTAAGGGAAATCGGCCTGACGACACTGGAGGACAGGAGGGTCAGGGGAGACATGATAACGACATATAAAATACTGCGTGGAATAGACAAGGTGGACAAGGACAGGATGTTCCAGGGAGGGGACACAGAAACAAGAGGCCACAATTGGAAGTTGAAGACACAAATGAGTCAGAGAGATAGTAGGAAGTATTTCTTCAGTCATAGAGTTGTAAGGCAGTGGAATAGCCTAGAAAATGACGTAGTGGAGGCAGGAACCATACACAGTTTTAAGACGAGGTTTGATAAAGCTCATGGAGCGGGGAGAGAGAGGGCATAGTAGCAACCGATGAAGAGGCGGGGCCAGGAGCTAGGACTCGACCCCTGCAACCACAAATAGGTGAGTACACACACATGGCCGAGATGAAAGACTGACTCGGAAGGTACACAGATCACGAGGAATCATAAACACCTTGGTGACAACTTGGTGCATCTGGTGACATCTGAAAATATTCTCGGAGTAGAGAACTGAAATGAATTGGAACTGTGTAGAAAATAACCTCTTACATACAGTTCAAAAGTAGAGACATTGCGCTAACTAGAGTATATCACGTTAGGCTGTCAAAGATCAAGATGAACCCAGGATCACTCCAAACACACGTGGATAAATACACGCAAATCATCTCTATTTAATCAGTTCGTATTAATTCTGTGGCTATATATGAACTCTTGTATAAAGTCCGAGTACAAATCTGTACCAAGTGTGTATGTGGAGACAACCGAACGGAGGTAGAATGATTCACAGGGATGAACCTCCACGTCTCCTTAAGCGGAATGATTCACATGGACCGAGATTGGAGTCTCCACCAACCCTTGTGTCGTTAACCCATACGGGTTTACCGCTTTTCGTATAACAAAAATAACTAATACACAGTTTAAAAATAATTAATTATTTTTCTCTCTTATGAGTCATACAAAGTTACAGGAGACATACATAATGTGAAACAAATGCAAGCACAGAAGAAAGCCACTAATTATGCAGTGCATTTCGGGCTAAGTAATCATAACGTTTACATACTACTAAAATCTAAACCTATCATATTTAATACATTGAGTGTGTAACCCACCATCTTGGCCATCAAGACTCTCACAGGCGCTGTAGTACGAGTCATCTTCCTGCAAGCGACCAGCTGGCGTTGAGTCACATGAGTAATAGAGAGAGAGCTTCCTTCCCTCCTTGTCTTCCCCTACCCTCGTCTTGGCCTCGCTGGGGAGCTGCTCACCCTCCTGCGTGACCTGGCATAACCTGGAGTCGCACTGTTCCATGGAGCTGTGCCGGCGGTGCGAGCCTTCACTACGAGGTTCCTGAGGGTCACCTACTGGTTGATCACTCCTGGCGTGAGGACGAGACTCAGGTAAAGGTGGTTTACCCTGCAGCAAAGAGAAAATTTAATATTTAAAATTATTCTGAGTTTCATTTCATGGTTATCCAGGTCGTTATAATGGCCACGTCAGAAAAACAGCGTATACCATAGTACAAAACTCAATTTCTAACAACCCTTACATGCGTAAAAATTTCCGTTTACCTAAGTGGGTATCCATAATAAGAATTAATTATTATTTCAAGACGCAAATTATAGAATGCAAATATCATTTTTTAAAAGCTTAGCTAGAAATTTTGAAATTTTTTAATTTGGAAATTTTCAGGCTCTGGAACATGTCAAGTATATGGAAAATCAAAATGACTGCATACAAAGAAAAATCCAATGAGCAGATAAAATAAATTATTCTGTGAGGAATAGGATAGCGCCTAAATGTTACAAAATTGTGCGAGATTTAAAAATAATTATTAAACCACGAACAGAATAGTGAATCTTTTGTTTTAATAAAAGTGAAACGTCGACTTATGATTTTGAGGAAAAAATCATGAAGTTGAGATCACGATAAGGTTGATATTGAAGGACCATGGTCTTTTGAGTCATATTTCTACGACTAGAAAAATTATTTTATAAGAAAAGTGGAGCACCGACCTTGACTTTAGCATATATGATATTAGGCATTAGACCTTCTTCCTCGAAGGATGCCGTCTGCACCAATTCCGGGCGTTCTTGTTCCAGCCTCTCAATGGCTCGCATTACTCTGTTCAGAAGCCTCGTAGTTTCCTCGTCTTCCTCAGACACAGCGTGAGGGTCTTCTGTCTCTTCTGTGGTCCCACCGGCAGCATCTTTATCTTTTACGCTGAATGGCACTCTTTCATCATCCTTGAGTTCCACTTTATATCTCGTGGGTTTGATGTTACCAGGTGGAGATGCAGCATCACCACCCTTCGACGGCCCACTTCTTTGTTTCTTCCTCCGGCGTTTAAGTGTCGTGGGAGCAGTAACAAAACTCCCAGGTTCCCCAATAGATGCGCTCCCTGTTGATTCTTGCTTCCCCGCTGCTTTATTTGCCTCTTCACATTTCTCTGTCGGTCTATTGTCTATCTTGACATGAGCTTTCCGTGATGACTGCTCTTTCTTTTTTTCACAAATCTTTGAAGCACTCTTTTCCTGTCGGGATTTATTTGACCTTCCGCCTTCCAATTTTACTCCTTCCGCACAGTCATCACAAGTGTTTTCTTCCGTAGACTTATTTTCTTTAATTTCTACCCTCTTATCTTTAACCTTTTTCTTGAGCGCCTCTGTCTCTTTCGCATTAACCCATTCTGTTGCAGATCCTCTGCTGGGAAGATTCTTCTTTCTTGGCTCAGTAGGGTTTGACGGACCTGGTTCCTCCTCTTTGTGTCTTCCAGAAGAATCAGAAGAAACTTGTGTGTGGTATCTGTCAATAGACTGATGTATATTAGACAGAATTTGCAGCCGTTTGAGTTTCAAGTTAAGAACCTAAATATTATTGTTCCAACTTCTTATAGTGTGGTTCGGTTTATTAGGTGCGAGATTTATATATATATATATATATATATATATATATATATATATATATATATATATATATATATATATAATATTCAATACCAAAGTAAATACATGTATATGCATTAATAGGATATGTTTGGGGATATAAAATTTAACAAATGCTTAAGAGATAATGAAATATATAATATTATCGATAAGGTCCTTACCTGTGAGTCCCTTCTGATTCTGATTCTATGATCGATATGAGAAATTATATATTAAAAAAAGTTATTATAGGATACAGTACCGTCATGATCATGTATACATTACGAAATAATGATAGAAAATATAAGGGTGCGCGAGACGTTTCAACCGAGACAGTAAATATAATGCAGCTGTTAAACTGGTGATGATGATTTGTAATCACTGTGTTGCAGGGTTGGATTAAGGTCTGTGTACCTTAGACTCTAAAAATCCTAAATCCCTTAGATACATCTGTATATAAATACAGTAGTTTTGTAACTACTGTATTTATAGTTAAAAAATTACAGTAATGCAACTCTTGAAACTATTTGGAAGTATTATTATTATTATTATTATTATTATTATTTTCAAAACGTTATTGAATCAAGTTAAAGTATTTGTGTAGATCCTAAACTTGTTTGAAAGACCTTGAGAGCTTCGTGAGTCACTGGGTACTGTGCCTTTGTGCATATAAGTTAGAATCTAGCACAGCTTGGAGGGAGCAGGCACTACATGAATCACTTAGGACTCCCATGAGACACACATGTCTTGTGATGATTAATTAAACTTGCTAGAAAAACGTAACATGCCTTTCAAAATCTGTGTGTAACCTAGAGGCATCAGAATCATCGGGCGAAGCAAAACCAGAAATGTAAGGAAAAGCTAGACTTACCTAGCTGGGGGCGAGATGCTGCTGGAGGACTGTTGCCTGGAGATGGAGACAATATCTGAGAGAGAGTGGTCTGGCGGGAGGTTTGGGAGGTCCTGTGTGAAGGCCAGGTAAGCCTTGTTGAGCTCTCTCAGCACGTTGATCTCCTCATACTGCAGTACCTCTGACTGGTGGTAATCATCTGCATCCATCAGCAGGTGCACCATCTCAGGTGGACTCACAGTCTGCTGTCACACATACACATTATTACTACTATGCACGTAAATACCATTTGTGTGGCTTCTACAAGATCCTTTCAACTATATTAGATTTTACCAATGGTGTATTGATATTGATATATTAGCATATTTGGTATCAGAAACACATAAATCCTTAAAAGTGCTTGTTTAAAAAAAAACAGCCTCGTATAAATTAATCAGCATGGACGAGAGAGGATTTCTCATAGTTCTTAATATATTTTTTTTTTTAAGTATAGACGCAACAATTAAATCTTGTCCTGTTTCCTGACAAACATTATACCATGCAATAATAAAATTCTAATTGGCAGTTAACATTGCGAAGGTTAATGAGATCAATGATCACAGAAGAATGTGAAGTGGGAAAGTTAAACTACATAACTAGATATAAACTGAGAGTGAACGTTCGCTGTATGACCCATGGAGGTTTAGAGCTTAGTTATGATTATAATGAGAGTGAACGTTACTCTTCATGTTGATCATCTATTATAAGACAGACAAGTTATGGAACAAATAATAATGACTCCTGTTTAAGAAAGACATAACTCCATTTACACCAGGTATATCCCCCTCAAGGGAGGTTCCTTGACGCTGGTAAAGGGCTCTTGATCTAGGGAATTGGATCCGTGCTCCAGTTCCCTGAATTAAGCCTGAATACCTTCCATCGCCTCCAAGTGTGTATTAAGCCCCACCCAACAGGTAAGGTTGCTAGATGTTGGCCAATATTCTAGGGACTCTTCCTGTGGGAGGCGTCGGGACATATCACCAATGTAATAGATTGGTAAGTGCAATAATGTTACTAATGAAATAAGGAGATTAATGATTGTAAATAAGTAGACAAAACAAAACACTTAAATCAGTCAAGTACACTTAAATTCTTAATTGTACAGTCCACTTAATGATCAATTTTATTGGCATAAATTTTCATAATATACATATGTTCCTAATTCAGGGTCCCGGTGGGCATCGAAGGAAGGGTATTGTTTGCGACCCCAGTGTTCCTAAGTCCCAGAAGTCTCCAAGATACATCAACTTCACTAAGTTGCTATTTGTTTATGCGTCAGAAGTTTTTCCCAAGTGTTGGTAGAATATTAATTTCGATATTGTGCTCTTATGAAAATCCCCCATAACCCCTTAGTGGGGGAAACGTTTAATATATACACCTAGGTGCTGCATGTTTCTAATTCATCACCATCCAACTACATGGATCAAGAGCCATTTCGACACTCCCTAAAGGGTTGACAATATAGGAAATACGAGGTAACACTTACCTTCCTGGGGATGAAGGAGGGTCTGGTCTTGAGGTTAGAGACAGTAGAGGTCCTGAGGGCCCCACACACCTGCATAGCCTCGTTGTCTTCCAGTCTCTCAACAAACACAGCCGTCACCAGCAACTCTGGTTGGCTCAGCATAGTGCACACTTGCTGCTGATATACACTCGGTATGAGGAACGAAATAATACGCTGAATCTATAAGAAAACAGTCAGCAATAAAAGGTTGTAAGTTTATTAATGTCTTCCACTGGCTGACCTATCATAACGAGAACCGATTAGTTATAGGGGAACGAATTTCCAGGCCTTGCGCTGAGTGACCTCACGCTCCATTCATTATAATAAGCAGTCCAATAGCACATAGTTTGCAGTGCTGTATAATTGATGTTTACACGCCAAACAGTTCTATATTTTGATTACAACTTTAAAGGCCTTGTGTGACATTCAGTAGTGGAGACTCCATCCTCCGTCTAACTAGCCAGACAGTCATGTTTCCATTCCGCAACTGTGAATTGGTTGAACGTTACCTGGGAGTTGCCCCTGTTGAGTGCAGGTCGCGCCAGGTCAGGTGTGGTGAAGCAAGCGAGGAGGGCAGGTGGAACAGCATCTTCAAGACGACCTTCGTGTTGGATCACTACAGGACACAGACCATCCTCACTCCTCGACCACTCTCTCAGTGTTATGAACTCCTTATTACTCATCACCTGGTGAAAACCATCACACTCAATATTGCCCACTGATAAAACTTTCAGTTTTATCAGTGTAGTTGATCAGGAACTCTAGCAAGGAGAGGAAGGCGTGCCTCGTGACGCTATGGTACATACATGTGTTCCTCATAAAGCTGTTTGCGAAGGAAGAGTCCACTAGTCTCTTGCGAGAGGGCTAAGTTCCTCAGAGGGCTGAGTGATACCTCCTGTGGCATGCAAAGAGTACGTAACCTTTATTCGGCGCATGGACACACCCTCATTTACAGGCTATCTCCCCCAACCAGCGAACCAGGTTGCTAAGAGTTGATGATGGGGCCCCATCATCAACTCTTAGCAACCTGGTTCGCTGGTTGGGGGAGATAGCCTGTAAATGAGGGTGTGTCCATGCGCCGAATAAAGGTTACGTACTCTTTGCATGCCACACCTCCTTTACTGGAAAATTTTCTCCACGGGATGAGTCGATATACATGAAGGCAAGATGGCTACAAGTTTAATTCTACTTATTACCAATGAAGCGGCATCGTAGGTTTCGTTTCAGATCTGGATATATTTTTTTTTAATAGAAGTATTAATATTCCTTTACTCATTTCAGAAATCAAGAAGAGATAGATATTAAAGTGGTTTATTTTATATTTTGTTTTGGAGAATAACCATTTTTTCTTGTTTTTAGAAAAAAAAAAGAATAACTTCGAGTGCAGTAATCCACCAGAAAATCTAAATATATCCAGGGCATATCGCATTATACCCATTATTACTGCTAGTCAACAACATATAAAAATTAAATCATCAACAAATGCCTCTAAAGTTGAGTTTCTTTATATTCGTCAAAATCCTCCTACCAGCATACCCTTCAGCATAACGCAAAATGTCACTTCCTGTACCTTAAAAAAATGTCAGCAATATATCTAATTAAAATAGTCACGTTAATCTGAGTCTTTCAGTATTCATGGATGATTGGCACCACTTTGGCACCCATCTTGGATGTCTTAAATTCCTTTAAGATGAGTGAGTGGCACCTGCTGGATTATCAGTCTAGACACCTCAGAGTCTCGTAGCGCAGCAGGAGTACTAGAGTAGCTTGATGCAGCTGAAAGGTTGGATATAGATGGGTGAATCATGGGGGAAAGTTGTAACTATGCCACCAGTTCATCTTACCTTTCTAGAGAAAGTGAGATGCCCTGGATGGGGGTAGTGAGTGACCATCTTGAAGTAATGGAGTAGGGCCCGCACCTTCACCCGCTGACTCTCTCTGCAGGGGGTACACACTTGCTTAGTGGCCTACACTCACACATACGTCATGGAAACTCAATGACACTTCATGGAAGCAGAAGGGTAAAGGAATGAAGACGAACTGAGAAACATACTAAGGCACCCATTGGACAGAAACGTGAGGACCTACCTGTAGAAGAAGAAGAAGAGAGAGTATGAGGACCTACCCGTAGTTGGAGAGTGTGTGAGGACTTTTCAGGAGAGAAACGGTGGGAGAAGTTTTGAGGAACCTGCCTGTGTGGGATGAGAGGGTACATGAAGACTTTCCTGAAGACCTCTAGAAGAGGAAGGGGGGACTGAGGACCTACCTGTAGAGAGGGTAAGGACCTACCTGTAGAGAGGGTATAATACCTACCTGTGGAGGGAGAAGAGGGTGGGTGCTAGGCAGGGGTCGGAAAGCGTGGGATGGGATACAACACTTCGACGAGGGAGAGTGCAGAAGAAGATGTGAGCCAGCAGTGAGGATACCAGCCTACGCTCCAGTACCATCTCCTCCTCTGCAACAGCGATATAAAACAGTTGTCTGAGATAAACAAGATATCCTTCACCTTTGTGTAGATAAATGGTTCAGAGAACCGACAAGCTGATAAATTAGACACATGTGCAACATCTGGGTATCCTTACCTCAGAAATGTTTCTTTGTATAGATAGGAGTGATGAAGCCACTGTGTGGCGAAACGTTTCCTCAGTAAAGATACCCAAGTGTTGCACATGTGTCTAATTCATCCTTCATCTTTGTTTTTATGCCAGATATCTTAACATTACCAACAAGTTGATGAATAAGTCACATGTACAACAACTGGGTATCTTTATCATCTTTCGCTAACAACTGTTTTTTTATATATAATTCTTCCACCGTTCTAAGTACGTAATCTCTGAATTGGATTGAAAAGTCATTGGTTGACAAAAGTATTCATAAAGATACGTGTTTCACGTGTGTCTTATTATGCCAAATCACATTTTCTTTGGTGACAGGGATTGTCAGGGTTTATTCCCATAATAAATTTTAGAGAGGTAAGTTTTCAACATTAGAAGGAAAAAAAAAAGCTTATGGTTGGGTATATCATAAGTAGCAATTATTATTGTTATACTGAGAGAGAAGCGCTAAACCCTCCTGAAAGACACCGTGCCAAAGTAGCTCCTAGTCTGATAGTCCAGGTATTTGCAGTAGTAAAATGTTTTAGATTTGTCATTATATAACTCTCTCTCTCTCTCTCTCTCTCTCTCTCTCTCTCTCTCTCTCTCTCTCTCTCTCTCTCTCTCTCTCTCTCTCTCTCTCTCTCTCTCTCTCTCTCTCTCTCTCTCTCTCTCTCTCTCTCATACACACGCACACACGCACCTTGCTGCTGTAGAGAGTATGTGAGGCCATGTGGTGGTTTGAGATCCTTGAGAGTGAGAGCAGCATCAAGCATAGCTGGTAGGATCTTAGTGAAGAACTCTGGGTCAGCCTCGGTCTTGAGGAACTGCTCCACCCCTGCGAAGGCTTGCTCAGGCACCGTCTCGCTCACTTCTGGATCTATGCTCAAGCTAAGTGGTCGTGGTTCGTTAATTAGGAAATGGGCAATTGTCTTCTAACACGGGTTTATTTCAAACGGAGTAACTAGTTGCAATTACGTACTGATTTTTTTTTCAAAATAATAAACCTTCTACCCCGTAATTGAAAAGAATATAGATTTTCCCGTAACTTCCGGGAGGCCGTGTTCAATACGGCTTGAGCCATGAACACCCTTAACAGCAAAAATCAATAACTAACAAAAGCAACAATAATAATTAACAATAACAATAATAAAAATAACATTAACAATACTAGCAATACCAAACAACAAATTCAGAAGATATATATATATATATATATATATTATATATATATATATATATATATATATATATATATATATATATATATAATATATATAATTATATATATATATATATGCAAAACAACCACTCTGAAAGAATAGAGAAATTCCAAGCGCTTTCGTGACTACTCACATTATCAAGGAACTTTGAAAGTAAAGCATCCAAGGAAGCTATATAAAGGGTCTGGCCAACACCTCACTATCAGATCCCACAACGGTTAAACACCTGACGCGCACCGGCCCAACTGGACAGGTCCTTTGCACAACTCGCCAACAAACCATTCTACCCAAGAAAATTTAAAAATTATTATTTGTCCAGTGTATTATTAAATTCTTCCCAAATTCTATTAATTATAAATGGATCTAATTTATATAAACCAAAGGAAATATTCATATTATTGTCAAAACTGCTTTTTATGAAACAAGATTCAATTATATTCCTGTCGACCATGGACTTGCTTGATACTACTTTCTCAACTTTTTGAAAATCAATTGGATGGTTAAAATCTCTTACATGAATAAATTGAGCATTGGAATCTTGCCCAGTTCTAATGCTATATTTATGTTGTTTTAATCTTAGTTCGAGATTTTTACCAGTTTGACCGTAATAAACTTTATCGCAAATTTTACAAGGAATCTTGTAGACACATCCATCGGCATTTTGGGGGGAATTCTTTATCAAAAGTTTTTTTTACTGTATCAAGATTTTTGAATACAACTTTAATATTAAAAGTCTTAAGAAGAGAAGGCATATCAACCAAGTTTTCATGGTAAGGGAGAATCAACATATTTTTAGTTGAATAAGGCTGGTTGTCCCTTTTTGGATTGTAAAAAGTATTTCTAGCAACTTTAAAAGATTTATCAATTACATTTCTTGGGTATTTTAAATCATTACCTATTTCGTAAATTTTGGATATTTCCTCATCTATGACCCCTCAAGGAAGGTTCCTTGATGTTGGTGAGGGGCTCTTGATTTAGGGAATTGGATCTGTGCTCCAGTTCCCCAAATTAAGCCTGAATGCCTTCCACATCCCCCCAGGCGCTGTATAATCCTCCGGGTTTAGCGCTTCCCTCTTGATTATAATAATAATAATAATCCTCATCTATGAACTCAGGACTACAAATTCGTAAAGCTCTCAAAAACATTGATGAGAAAACAGACAGTTTGACTCTATCTTGATGCGAGGAATAATAGTGGACATAGGAACAGTTATTTGTAGGTTTTCTGTAAATTTTAAATTTGAATTCATTATTACCCTTAATAATTAAAACATCTAGAAAATGCAATGAGTTATTTTCTTCAAACTCAACAGTAAAGTTTATAGAATGGGCTAATTTATTTAATTTTCCAATGAAATGGTGTATATTTACATTTTTGGGCATAAGACACAAAATATCATCAACATATCTGAACCATTTAGCTCTATTAGGGAGGATTGTGTTAAGAACCTTGTTTCAAAAAATTCCATGTATAGGTTACTAAGAACAGGTGAAAGAGGATTTCCCATTGCCATACCAAACTTCTGAGTGTAAAACTTATCATTAAATACAAATTTTGCATCAACAATGCAAAGTTTAATAAGTTTAATGATAGTAGGAACTGGCAATGGTAAATCATAGTTAACGAGTTCTTCAGATAAGAAACTTAATAAATCATCAACAGGAACTTTCGTAAACAAGGAAATAACATCAAAACTAACCATGTTAAAATCATTTAAGTCAGTCAAGGAGCTTAATTTATCAACCAAGTCTATGTTGTTTTTAACATTAAAGTTAGAAATTTTGCCAACAATAGGGCTCAAAATATCAACAAGCCATTTGGATAATTTATATGAAAACCTACAAATAACTGTTCCTATGTCCACTATTATTCCTCGCATCAAGATAGAGTCAAACTGTCTGTTTTCTCATCAATGTTTTTGAGAGCTTTACGAATTTGTAGTCCTGAGTTCATAGATGAGGAAATATCCAAAATTTATGAAATAGGTAATGATTTAAAATACCCAAGAAATGTAATTGATAAATCTTTTAAAGTTGCTAGAAATATTTTTACAATCCAAAAAGGGACAACTAGCCTTATTCAACTAAAAATATGTTGGTTCTCCCTTACCATGAAAACTTGGTTGATATGCCTTCTCTTCTTAAGACTTTTAATATTAAAGTTGTATTCAAAAATCTTGATACAGTAAAAAAACTTTTGATAAAGAATTCCCCCCAAAATGCTGATGGATGTGTCTATAAGATTCCTTGTAAAATTTGCGATAAAGTTTATTATGTTCAAACTGGTAAAAATCTCGAACTAAGATTAAAACAACATAAATATAGCATTAGAACTGGACAAGATTCCAATGCTCTATTTATTCATGTAAGAGATTTTAACCATCCAATTAATTTTCAAAAAGTTGAGAAAGTAGTATCAAGCAAGTCCAGGGTCGACGGGAATAAAATTGAATCTTGTTTCATAAAAAGCGTTTTGACAATAATATAAATTTTTTCCCCTTTGGTTTTATAAATTGACCCATTTTAATTAAAAAAATTGGGAAGAATTTAATAATAACTGGACAATAATAATTTTTAAATTTTCTTGGGTAGAATAGTTTGTTGGTGAGTTGTGCAAGGGCCCATCCATTTGGGGCCCGGCGCGCGTCAGGTTTTTAAAACCGTTGTGGGTCTGTTGTGAGGTTTTGGGCCAGCCCCTTATATAGTTTCCCTTTGGATCTTTACTTTCATATTTCCTGATAAGGGGAGTAGTCACAAAAGGTTTGGGGAATTTCTCTATTCTTTCATGTGGTTGTTTTGCATATTCTGAAATCCCCTGTTTATTTGTTTTGTTTTTATATTATATTATTATATATATATATTTATATTTTTTTATATATATATATATATTTATATATATATATATATATATATATTATCGGTTTAGCGCTTCTTTGATTTAATTAATTTATTATTTGTAAAATTTTACTTTTTTATGCTGTATGGAATGTGAATGATTTTTCTGGTGATTTGCACATTGAAGTGGCTAGAGTACCGGGGTGAGGTGGAGTCGAAGTAACTTATTTTGAGAGTGAATGTAGAGCATAGAGCACTGGGTGGGTGGTTTGTGGGCGGTGGTTTCCCCTTCGAGAATTCAGGTGACGCTGGACGGCGGGCCCGGGTGGGCAGGTCACGGGGCAAAAACACAAACCCCATCTTGTCACACCACTCTCTTGTCACCTGAGAATACGTGTTTTAGCCCTGTTAATTGTTGCACCCCCATGGGATTTTGGGGAGGAGTCCCCCCTCCTTTTCCTTAGATTAAATTTGATTACCTTCTTTTGACGATGCATTTTTTCTTATTGCGTTATTGGCCATACAAAAATTATTATAATAATTATAATAAAATTTAATTAAATAATAAATAGTTTAAGAGTGTTCGAAACGTTCCCTTTTTGACTAAGAGACAGCGGAATGTATGTTAGCAGATGTTTTTAGGAAAGTTCCTTAGTCGTCTACAGGTCCCCCTCCCCTGTGTCACTTCACCCTCACAAACACACAACACACACCACAACCACACACACCCACACACAACACACCACAATTATGCGGCACTTTTTTGGGAAAACCCACCCTAGAAAAGCCGTGAAGAACTAAAAAAGTGAAAAGGTTTTGCAACAGACTAGTCCCAGAGCAAAGAGGATGTCCTACGAGGAGGGGTTTTAAGGGAAAACAACGGGACGACTGGAGGACAGGAGGTTTTGGGGGGAATGAAAACAAATAAAAAATACTGAGAGGAATTGAAAAGGTGGAAAAAAGCGGATTTTCCAGAGATTGGACACAGTAAAAAAGGGGGACAGTTGGAAGCTGAAGACCAGTGAATCACAGGGATGTTGGGAAAGTATTTCTTCGCCACAAGTAGCAGAAAGGGAAATTTTTGGGGAAAGCGTGTTGGAGGCGGATCCTTTACTTTTTTAAAGGGGGTTTATGATAAAGTCACGGCTCATGGGAGTGACCTAGTAGGATCAGTGAAGGGGGGGCCAGGAGTGGATCGACCCCGAAACCTCAAAGGTGGTAAAAACTAGGTGGAACACGGGAATTTTCCGGAGGGGAAAAAGAAACAGGCGACAAAATTAGAAGTCGAAGACCGAGAGTCAAGGGATCTTAGGAAGTTTTTTTTCACCCATAGGTTGTTGGGAAGGGGGAACAGTCTGAAAAGCGATGTGTGGAGGCAGGAAAATTACATATTTTTAAAGACGAGGTATGTTAAAGTCATGGGGGCAGGGAGAGGGAGGGCCCCAGTAGGGGACCAGGAAGGGGGCGGGGCCCAGGATGAGTTTTGGCCCCTGCAACCACAAATAGGTGATTAACACCCACACAAAAACCAAACCCACACACACACACCACACACACCACTCAAGAGAGATGATTGCATTTCTTACCCTTGAGTTGCGGGAAAGTGGAGCATTTGGGAAAAGTAAAGTGCTAGAGGCGGGACCCTACATAGTTTCAAAAAGAGGAAAAGGGTTTTCATGCGCCAGTGCCCTACAGTCCCGCGAAAAAGGGATCCGAAGCTGTGAATCCCCCCCTGCAAAAATATAAGGGAGTATTCAGGTGGAAAACCACCCCAGGGTATTTTAAAAATGTTATGTTGGTTGCCTTTAAAAACTTTCTTGGAAAAATTGGTGGGGTTTGGAAATTTTTCAAAGGCTAATTTACAAATCCGAGGGTGGGTAGAAAAGGGAAGTGAGGAAAGAGAGAGGACAAAGGTGGGAGAGAGTGAGAGGGCATAAAAAAATAGCGAAAGATAATTTTTTAGGGGAGCGAGGGAATTTGAATTTTTCCCTGATAGCCCCTTTCCCCTCATGCTTATTGACGTTTCCGTGTGGGTCGCCACTG